TTTCCAACCTTGTAACTTCCTCTAAACTCAATCTCTTATACCATTGAATAATTTTTTTTTATTGACCAACTATAGTTGGCAAAACTAGGTATTTATCGTGTTGTTACACCAGTTATACTCTTAAGATTGCTTGAAGTTTGGTTGTTTTCACCTCAAATACATTTTTGCTCCATACCATCACTGATTTCTCATAATTGATTTTCTGCCTTAAAATCGACTCTTAGCTTTGCAAAATTATTGAATGTGGCACATTATTGGATGTGTAATTTTATTTTTTGATACGTTGGATTGTCTTCTATTTATTGGTATTTAGTCAATCATTTGTGACTTGTTTTAATGTGAGGAATGAAAATATTGGGTCTTTTGGATTGCATTTTCTTGGCAAGTTTGATGAGTTTTTTTTTTTTTGTGCAAGGAGTTACATTAGATGTAAACAAAAAAACATAAAAACATATTTACCAAACCCCAATTCAACAAAAGATGAGTTTGTAAAATAAGCTTTCCTATTAAAAGCATATTGTTCAAACACGTTTTTAATTGATATTAAATTCTGTTCAAAGCTTATTTTCAACCCGCTTCTTTACCTTTAGAAGCGTGAGGTTGAAAACACTTTTTAAGAAGAATGATAGGCTTTTTTAGACTATGAAAATTAATAATTACTATAATAATCTATTACAAATGAAAAATTGTTAGGAAAAAAAATTCACAAAATATAGTACAACTCACTGGTGTAAGAGAAATAACGTGTAGGCGAAAATTATTAACATGTGTATTCTCGTGGTTAAAAAAACCCCCACTTTCCAGAATATTGGTGTAAGTATGAATCCAACTTTGCACGCTAAAAAATTTAAAAATTTTATTTTAGACAATAAAAATTAAAATTTTAAAAATATTCTCAATTTATTAAAAATATTACAATGTGATTCTTTAGTTAGCTCATTTTGACAATGTCAATAAGGTAATTTTTGATAAATTTAGCAATAGAATCTAACGAAAGTGCTACGTTATAATACTTTTTAATATATTTAGGGTGAAATATATATATAAAAAAATCTATACTACTTAAAAATGTTAACATATGTGACAATTTTTTGATTTTCTATTTTATCCTTAATTATTATAATAAAATCAATTATACCCACCTATATATATAATTTCATCTAATTTTTATTTTTTTACATAAATTTAACTTTCAACTTATTTTGAACTATTTTATAATTACTTCTAAATTTTTTTGAACTTATTTATTAGTTGTACAGTTGCATTACAATTATCTATATTTATATAATAAAGTAGCTTACAATTCAAATTTCAAAAGATAAACAAAATGACTTTTGCTATTCGCGGTTGAGATCGTTTTAAATTTTACTTTAAAATTAATCAAACGACTAATATTAACTCCCTAAATTTAATAGAAAAAATAGGTCCTTAAGGGTGTGTTTGGAGTGACTTTTTAAAAATACTTTTATAAATTATTTCTCATAAATACTTAAAAAAAAATAGTGTTTGAAATCGCCCCACCACAACCTCTACCCACCACCACCACCACCACTGCCACCCCCACCGTCACCGGCACCACCAATGCCACTGTCGCCGCCGCCACGCCCGCCACCAATGCCACCGCCATCCTGATCATTGCCACCTACCACAACCATCACTGTTTCCTACTACCATCACTGCCGTCCACCACCTCTCACTTTCACTACAAACTGGTACTTAAATTTTTTTATTTTTTTTTCTATATTTGTGATTTGATTTTGGATATAAATTACAAATATGTTTATTGTTTACCATTTTTTATTACTTTGTGTCTTCAGACACAGATAATAACTAGTCTATATATAAAGAAATAAAGTCATATATATGTTAAATTATTATACATATGATATGCAATAATATAATAATATTACATGCAATCTAATCAATTTATTTTAAAAAATAAATTTTTATAATTTTATAATATAATTAGATGTGTAAATGCCTAAAGAGGTTGAAGAATATCTAAATAAGCGACAGATAAGTATTCAAAAATTTATAGAATAAATTAATAATTAAATTTAACAATAATTCAAATACTAATTAATTTTTTGGAACCTAATTTATTATTTAATTTAATTACACATACAAATCACATTTTTTATAAAAATAATATTATTTTAATTTATTTACGTGCAAACGCCATCATAGATTGCTAGCTAATTTTTAAGTGTATAAAATAAGAATTCTTAAATCTTTTAGGCACAAAGTGCGACTTTTGCATAAATGAAGCTTCCACCTTTTCTAATTATGGACTAATACATGTCCAACCGCCATTAATAAACAACCATACGAGGAACAAGTATGTATTTAAAAGTTAAAATGTCTAAATGCCCACCAAACTTATTTTAATCATTATAAACACGACTTGTAAAATAGATACAAAATAAATACATTTAAATTAGTTTGTGAATTTAGTTAATAAACACATGGTATCGAATAAATGAGAATAATGCTATTAGAATATAAATTTTTTGATCTAGTTTAAATATTTAACGGTATAACCTGACTCACATTGAACGTAAACAAGTGTAGAAACTAGAGCAATAGTGATAAAATTCAAAAAACAATTTAGGGCGAGAGTGTCATATTTTATAATAATAAATAAATATATATATAATATTTCATATGAATATATATAATAGTAACATATAATTTTTGAGAATTTTAGGTGTTAAATAGAAGAATATCATAAAAATAAGATTTAAAATAAAACTTTACCATAGATTTATTATTGGTTAAATAAAAAATTAATTAAACATCCAAATCTAATTAAAATAATTTTACCCAAAACATAAAAGAGGAGTAAGGGACTGATTTTTAGCCGGAACACCTTCATTTCTCACTTTTAGGTGCGTGAGAGAGAGAGAGAGAGAGAGAGAGAGAGAGAGAAGCAGCAGCAGCCTCATAGATGAAAAGTGGTACTCGCTGCGTCGATCGTTGGAGGAAAGCGCTGGGCTTATCTGCCTTCTACTGAACGCTTCGTGAAAACGAAGTCGAAGGCAACGGAGGTGAACACGAAGAAGGAAAAGTGAGCCTCTGTTCATTGTGATTCTTGCACGATTTTACTGGTATGTCTCAGAAATTCTCTCAATTTCATCTTCTGTTTGTGTAATTGCAAAAAAGCTGTGATTTTGAGGTTGAATGATTGAACGATTGCAAGTGGGTTTCGGTGATTTAGCGTTGAATTGGGTCTGCAATTTTTTTGCTTTCTTCCCATCAATCTCGTTTTTCTTTGGCTTTNTTTTTTTGCTTTCTTCCCATCAATCTCGTTTTTCTTTGGTTCCTCTTTTGCTGGACGATTCTACCATCTTGTTCGATTCTGTTGCAAAAATTGGGGACTTTTTTGAACGGGTTCTATGTCAAGCATGTTAATTCATCTAGGATCCGTGACAAATTAGCAGATTCCATAATCTTAATGCGCGGTTTTGGTTAGTCCAATTCGTTGAATTCATTACTCAAACACGCGGATTTGCTTAGTCAAATTCGCCAATTCGTAAATTTGAATCCGCGAATTCGATAACTTTACACCCTCAAAGTACGAATTCACATGTGGAGCCATAGAGCGTAGGTCAATATGGACGAATTATGTGACTCAGGTGCCCACGGCAAAATACAATTTTAGTCCCTAAAATATGCACTTGGTGTCTATTTGATCCTTAATCTTTCAATTGTGTTTATTTTGTTCTTAAGGTTTCTAGTTTGTATCTATGGGGTCCAATCCCAAACATCTGTCAAAAAATTGTTAATGGCTTTGGCTATGCACTAATCATAATAGACACAAATTAGGAAATTTAAGGATCAAATAGATATAAAATTAGGAATCACGTGATTGGTGTGTGTCTAGAACCGTCACGATTTTTGGATGGACGTGTGGAATTAGACCACATAGATACAAATTAAGAATCTTAGGGATCAAATAAACACAATTAGAAGATGGGAAATCAAATAGACACTAAACACATACTTTGAGGACCAAAAATATATTTTATCCTATATCCCAATAACATTATTTTAATTATAAGTTTTAGACGTTTCTGTTGAAAGTATATTACTTGACNAATATATTTTATCCTATATCCCAATAACATTATTTTAATTATAAGTTTTAGACGTTTTTGTTGAAAGTATATCACTTGAGACATAATTAGTCAACAAATTAGTTCAATTTTTTAGGTACGGAAAACATTACTCAATAAATAAATGGACACAAATTTGTTAAACATAACTTTCAAAAGATATAAAAACAATACAACACAATTTTTTGTTATGCATAATTATAAGTAAATCTAGAATAAATTAAATAAATTTTGATATAATATAATTTAGACACAATACGAATGAATAGTTAGCCCAACCAAACTTCTCTCATCCTAACATAGAGTGGGAGAAGACTTTTTGTGAAAGAGGCGGACAATTCCGTAATTGCACTTCTGACATGCGTGAAATATTGAAACCCATTGCCAGATTTCCGAATAACCACACAACGTTCTTAGAAAGAGATTTNTTTGTGAAAGAGGCGGACAATTCCGTAATTGCACTTCTGACATGCGTGAAATATTGAAACCCATAGCCAGATTTCCAAATAACCACACAACGTTCTTAGAAAGAGATTTCAAAATATTTAAATCATTGATTAGATAAAGTAGTCTGTAGAAATAGAAATATCCATCGAACACCCACTCACAACCCATACTTTTGTTGTTTTTATAGTAGTATGTGAGTTGGTTCTTATATATGCCTTTTTCCCCCAGATTTCCCAAAGTCTAAAATTCAACACAAGAAGAAGAAGTCATTTTTTTTCTACCTGTTGTCTCATTTATATCGGGGCTTCTGGGTATCTAAATTCACAATTCTAGGTATGTGAATTTTTGAATTTGTTGTTCATTTTTGCTGGTTTTAACTATTTCTTTCTAGGTTTGTGAAATTGAGTGATTTTGGATTGATTTAGGTGGAAAAAGAGGATGGATAGTAACAACTGGAGGCCAGCTGCTCAAGGTGTTGAGCAGGTGGCGATGGACGCAGGTGATTGGAGGAGTCAGCTGCAACAAGATTCTCGACAGAGGATTGTTAACAAGATGTAATTTGGCTAACCCATAATTGAGTTTTATATTAAGTACTCAATTCCCTTTTGTCTCTTTTAGTTTTTGGTGAAGTTATATTAGCTCACACATAGATGATTTACAATGTCCTTATATTTCTTTAATAAGTAACTTGCTGCTTTTAAAATGGGGTGGTTGTGGTATGTTTGCCGATGAGTTTTTGTTTTTTTTTTAATAAAATGTGTTAGTGATACAATTCTAAGTTTGTGTTGAGAAAAGCACCAAAAAAAGGGCTGACTGAAAATGCAGATATCAAAGTGGTGAAGTTAATGATGATGTTGAATGCATAAGAAAAGATATTCCAATTTTCATGCACTATGTAGATGAATTTATGGGTACATCTGTATCTGGGTTTAGTTTTGTGTTTAGTCCTGTGAGAATGTTGGACCATGGGGAATGTTGGACCATTATAATGGGTGTTGCTAACTACAGTTGGAATTTGGTGCTACTTGCACTTCAAACAATAATAGTTCCCAAACATCTAGTGTAGTTATGGTCCAAACATGTGCCAAGTTATCTCATGCATAATGGTAATGTATTTCCAATTTTGGTCTAATTATTGATATTAACCTGTTTATCTCCCTGTTGGTGCACTTTGCACAAATTAATGCATCAAGGTAAGATTCCTGATCTTCCATGACACAATAAGCGAGGCCAGGATGAAACTCTTTCAAGCACTAATTACCCCAAAACCAAAAAGAAAAATAAAACACACCCAAGCAAGCATTTCAATGCTCTATTGTACCTGCTCTTCATGTATTGTGTTTGAGTGTATAAGTTACATTACATCCACTCCAATAGTTTAACCTTTTGAAGTAATTGAAAGTGTAACATGGTATCAGAGCACAAGTTTATGCATTTGAATTTAACTGTCAGCTTCATAATTAAAATACTTGCACCTCCTTGGCTAAAATTCTAGCCTACGAGTGAGGAATATGTTAAAGTATAAAAATTCTTATGTTACATCGACTATAACAAGTAGCTTTTAGAATATTTTGGGGTTTAATAACTTGCATTGTCTCTTATTGTTCGGTTGTACAAATATGAATCTGTTGAGATTATTCCGTAACACGAGTTGGGATCGTATCTTAACATTGTGGGTAGGTCTCATGATACCACATGCCTCCTTCGTTAAAAGTATGTCTTCTTGGTGAAGGATACTGTCCATTTACCATGTTTTTTGAGTGGAGGTGAGTTGAATGCATTCTGATTTTAGTCTCGTTTTGGGTTGGTTGTTGGTTTAAAACCAGGGTTTACATTTAGTGAGAAATGTGGAGGAATGCTTGGTGGTGATAGGTTGACACAAACGGTAAAAAGTAGACATTAATACGATGTTGCTGAAAGTATAGGGCCTGCACAGTGAATAAGATGTTGCTGAAAGTATAGGGTCTCCACCCTTGTGCCTTTTGGATTGGGTGAAGTAAATGGTGGATACATAGTTGCCCAGTGCTTTGCAGTGTATGAGTGTTTGGCAATGAAGAGAAGTGGCATCATCAACACTATCTTTGGTAAGGTAAGTGATGCTTCAATGGTTTAGGAAGTGGACTATTTCGAAGATATTGTTGAAAAGGTGTCGATAAAAAATTGTTGCTCGAGTAGTGAGACTTTCACTTGTGTAGTGGGGCCTCTGAAACACTTCAGATACCGTCAATGTGGTATTCTAGGATAGGTGGGGTGCCTTTGGCATTTTCTCTAATGCGCGTGGAAGTGGTTAAAGAAACTTGCTGGAAGTTCTGATTTTGGGAAAAGCTTGAGTTCTGACTATAGTTCCTTTATTTTCCAGATATAGGTGATATTTATGCTAGTGGCCCTGGTACAATTAGCCTTCTTAGAGCAGTTGGAAGGGTATTGCTGAAGTTTGGGCTAATGAACTAAATTGATGATTACAATGGTGGCCTCACAACACCAGACTGCTTTTTGTATGGTAAGAAAAATATTGGATATCGTTCTCATTGCAAAAAAAGGTGTGGATTCTATATTGTGCAGTCGATACCTGGAGGGAATTTGGAATCTTGATATGGACGTTCCATTTGGTCATGGAGGTTGTGTTTTTTTTTTTTTGTACTTGCACTATGTCTACGGCTGTTGTAGTTTTATTCAATGACACTTCTTATGATCTTCTCTTTTCTTACTTTCTTAGGGGCCAACTCATATTTACTGCATTTGTTTTTGGTTTTATTTATTCTTTTATTGTGTATCGTGTGTGACCATGATTTTGAAGTAATTTGTTTGGTATGTTGTTATTTAACGCGTTTATATGCTCTCTGTAAATATCTTCTTCACGCCTGTGTAGTCAATAATCAATTGAAATGTATTATTTCACATCTAGAATGGAGACCCTGAAGAGGCATCTTCCGTTCTCTGGACAAGAGGGACTACAAGAACTTAAGAAAATTGCAGTAAGGTTTGAGGAAAAGATTTATACTGCTGCCACAAGCCAGGTTTGCATTTACACTGGTATTTGATCATTGGTGGTATTTGCCTTTAATTTCAGTATTGATACATGGTTGGCTTCCTTATTCGTGAATTTGACGTGAGATATAAATGGTACATAATATTTTTATTGCAGTCGGATTATCTGAGAAAAATATCTCTTAAGATGCTGACAATGGAGACAAAATCCCAAAACCCCATGGGCAATTCCTTGCAGTCCACCTCTGCCAGTAATAGCAAAAATCCCCCAGATCCAGGTAATAGGATAAAAGTGGTATGTGCTTTGTTGAGAGTATTATCTTTATATTGTCACTATTTTATATGATTGTAATATGTGTACCTCTCTAAGGATATATTAGTGTTTTATGTTTTCATTAGTTAACTATAAATATAAGTTGAGAGGGAGAGGTATGTATACTTCTCTGCCTACTCTCATATTGTTCTCTCAATTATCTATTCCTAAACTAAACATGCTTCATGTAATAGCAATATTTTCACAAAGTGCTGACAGATTTCATTTTCCATCTCTGTATCTAAACCTAATATGCATTCCCCTGTACTTAAATAGTTTCTTTCTGCAGATTAGACATTGTGCATGTCTCGATGTCATATTCACTAGTGTTTGTGAACCTTAATTAGCTTTAATTTTGCTACCTATATTATGTTTTAGCACCAATCGGGGAATTGCCAAAACAAAAATTGCAAAAAAAAAAAAAAAAAGGCGGATATAGCCTATATCTTTCAATTGAGTGATCTGCCTTTTGCTATGGTGAACACCTAATTTACATCCGACTGTTTTTCTCCATCAGGTAATTTGGCTAATTCCCTAGTATTATTTCTCTGAAGGGCTTTTCTTCAATCATTGCTTCCTTCCATTTTGAACTAATAGTAGCATCATGCCAACTTCAAGGATCTGAGAAACAAAATACCCAATAAGATGGTCAGAGATTATGAGGACACACAAAATTAGAGATTGGATGTCGAATGCGAAAACTGACTCCTTATGAATAACAATGGGAATGTATGAAACACAGACACTCTCGAGAAGGTGACGTATCCGTGTTGGATACCGACACTCTTCGGACACTCTCGGACACGTGTCAGATACTCTTTTATCTGTGTTTATAATTAAATGATTTTTTTTAATTTCGGACACATGTCCAATACTTCTTTGGTGACGTGTCCGACACTTATTTAAAACGTGTCTATTTTCTACTGCTAAACAATAAATATGTGTTGAAATGTGATTAACAAAATTTAAAATTTTGAGAACATATAATTATTAATACTAGATATGTCAAAATTGTACTCCAAATATAATAATAAAATGAAAAGATGCAATAAAATTTTAAAAAATAGTAATTGAGAAAATGATAATAATTATTTAAATTATATATTAGGTACACATTGTCCGCAAAAAAAATTGATAGTTATTGACTACGATGATGATGCTTTAGTCTAAAAATTTACACAGATGTCTACATATAAGATTCTTATCATAAAATATTGAATCTTTTATGAATTGCATATTATTACCATTATATTTATGATAAATTATATAATGTTATATATAAAATATAATTTTTTTAGCGTATCCCCAACGTGTTCTTGTCCTACTTTTTTTTTATAAATGTTGTGTCGCCGTGTCCATGTTGTGTCGTATCCGTGTCCATGCTTCTTAGATGGGAACATAAACATACAAAACACAAGGAAAAATAGTAAAAGGAGAAGAAGAAGGTGATATAGGCAATACCTCAATATGTGCTTGGAGATTCAAACCCTAGATGGCATCTTTGCTTATAATGTGTGGCAGTAAGAAGAGAATCAGTCAAGTAAGATTTAAGGAGATTTATGGACATAGCAAGGTTCTTCCAATAACTTCAAGAAGATGCCATTTTTTCCCCCTAGTATTTCCATTTTGGAGGGGTGCATATGCACACAAAGTCTGATAAACTATGTCATGCTCATGAAGACAAGTCTAAAGACCCGCATAAAACTACTTGTCCTCATTGTTAGAATGAAGTGCCAAATGGGAACATGACCATGGGTTGACACCATTTTTGTGGAATGTCTTGATACATGAAAAAACATCACTAATTAATTTCAAATAATATCCCCAAGTTGTCTTATAAAACTCTTCAATAAAACTTAACAAACCAATAGAATCCACATAAAGAGACAACATGAGAAATGCCCTAAAAATTATTACGTACACCGACAAAAGGTTTGAAACTTTTATTAATGCTAGAAGTAAATGAAACACAATGATTTTTAGCAAGTTTATACGTTTCCCATTGAAACATAGAGAGGAAAACTGGTGAAACCTAGGAAGCAAGGATACGTGAGACGGGTACACTACGATACGGATACGGTGATGCGACAAAACTTAAAATAACAGGATACGAGTACGTTCAGGATACGCCTATTATAAAATATAAAATATATTTTATTATTATTTAATGACTTAAAAATTATAATTTTCAACAATTCTTTAACAATAGTAAACAAAATTAGAAATTTTTACCTTGAAAAAGATTTGATATCGTCTCATTATGATATATCCATAAAATGAGCATGAAGAATTAAAGGAATCAAAACTAGACTTAACTAGTGGGTTTGTTTACAAATATTAGTTTTTAAGATTATAGTGTAACTAACTTATTTTTTTATAATCTTTTGACATGTAATAGTAGATAATACTTAAAAAATACTTGGTGTCTTTAAAATTAGATGAAATTTTGTTAATATTTTGTATTGTATGTGAACCNAGATTTGATATCGTCTCATTATGATATATCCATAAAATGAGCATGAAGAATTAAAGGAATCAAAACTAGACTTAACTAGTGAGTTTGTTTACAAATATTAGTTTTTAAGATTATAGTGTAACTAACTTATTTTTTTATAATCTTTTGACATGTAATAGTAGATAATAATTAAAAAATACTTGGTGTCTTTAAAATTAGATGAAATTTTGTTAATATTTTGTATTGTATGTGAACTCGAAAGGAGTGGGTATAAATTAACATTAAAAACTGTACATCTTACTTCATGTTTAGAAGTATTCGCGAAATATCTACATATTTTATGAATTATAGTATATGTATGATGTGTCTGCGATACGTGTATTCGAATATCTGACGAGTACCATATCCAATACAGTACGTTGACCTTGGTTAAGTATCCGTACTTCATAGGGTGCAACAAATAAGGAAAAATAGATTTCAACAAATGAAATAGTAGATGTCCAAGTTGACNGAAATTTTGTTAATATTTTGTATTGTATGTGAACTCGAAAGGAGTGGGTATAAATTAACATTAAAAACTGTACATCTTACTTCATGTTTAGAAGTATTCGCGAAATATCTACATATTTTATGAATTATAGTATACGTATGATGTGTCTGCGATACGTGTATTCGAATATCTGACGAGTACCATATCCAATACAGTACGTTGACCTTGGTTAAGTATCCGTACTTCATAGGGTGCAACAAATAAGGAAAAATAGATTTCAACAAATGAAATAGTANGTGTCTGCGATACGTGTATTCGAATATCTGACGAGTACCATATCCAATACAGTACGTCGACCTTGGTTAAGTATCCGTACTTCATAGGGTGCAATAAATAAGGAAAAATAGATTTCAACAAATGAAATAGTAGATGTCCAAGTTGACAATGCCACGATTAAATTTTCACTGTTGATCGTCATCACACCCTTCCTACTCTCTTCACTTCAAACATATGCATACACTTTTGTACTAGTTAGAAACATAAAGATGCGATCTTGCTCAACCACCTGATGGATCTCCAAGCATTTACATTATATGCAGCCTAAAAATACTGATAGTGATATAACTCCTAGAAATCCCGAAAAATGTCAAAGTAAGCAACTAGAGACATATCACCCAGTGACGTATTATGGATATGACTCCTCAATTCATAAATCTAGGATATGTTCCCATCTTCGAGTTGGTCTGTGTGATTGCATCTCAAATTTCATTCTTGGTGTTAGCAAAAACAAGCAGCCCTTGCTAATTTCTGATCTCAGGAACGTAACACCTAAGACATAATTATATTTTCCCCTACCCATTTTTCAAACAAAGGATATCCTTCGATGGTTCTTTTNCTCAAATTTCATTCTTGGTGTTAGCAAAAACAAGCAGCCCTTGCTAATTTCTGATCTTAGGAACGTAACACCTAAGACATAATTATATTTTCCCCTACCCATTTTTCAAACAAAGGATATCCTTCGATGGTTCTTTGATCTTCTGTTTAGATATCTTATCTTTCATATACTTTTAGTAAAGAGCATCATAGACTGTGATCAAACTAGGTAATTACGCATATCTAATCTTACAGTTGTAGTTTTGAGTGTAGGGTTTTCGTTCGGGGTCCTAGGGTTCCAATCTGATTCACTGTCCCCTTTTATACATGTAATATGCTCTCCAAAAGACCAAACTGATATTTTTAGTGTTTTATTTGGTGAAGTTGCCGATTAATATTTTTTTCTTCCATGCACAACAAAAAATAGAAAACATTAAACTTGCTTTGATACCATGTTGATTCTAGTACAAACCTATAATCTGGGAAGGAAGAATATGATGGAGGAGAGAAGAAAATAAGTTTACATATGGCTGAAAAGAAAGTGATTGGGGTTCTCTCACTTGTATGTTGTTATCTATACTCACTCCAATATAGAGACCTAAATACCCTTCAAGACTTAAAAAAATACTTATTTCAATACTGCAACCTTTCCAATCCATCATAATTCATCCTTCCGATGCATACGAGCTTTTTGCATCCCTCACTAAGACTATTGAGTCGGCTCAAATTTTTTCCCTTAGGACAAGAAGTATGATAGATCTCATAGGTTTTAGGCTAGTCCCTAGCTTACTATATAAATACAAAAGAGAACTTTTCTGTAGCAAATAGTGAAAAGGTTACTTAGATAAATTTGTATTCCTACTAACAACACTATTCTTGTTCCCCCCAAATGTGTTATGGATTCAAGGATCTACATTATTTTGTTTTTTCTTTGGTGAACTTACGGAGCATATTGAAGAAGACGTGCTTTTATGCATGCGTACGCAGATGAGGTATTGAGGTAGTTTAGTTTACACAAGTGGAGCTAAGTTAAATTTCTTGGAAAGATAATCTAGAAACTAAATATCTTAGGTTGAAGTAGACCTAAGATAATAAGCATTAAGAGTAACTTTTAACTTTTTAAGCAATATTTGAAGTGGGGTGATGGTATAACTAAAGTTTGATGGCAAAGGATATACCTTAGAGCAACCCATTTTCAGAAATATGATGGATTAATTATTTATGAGGAGATGGGGGGTTCAGGATGGCATCACCTATTAAATTGATATACGACAGATTGAACAAAAAAATCTTGAAGTATGTTGTATGATTGTAGAGTTTCTGCGAAGTAGATGGGAAAATTCTTCAAACAGGTATAAAACAGCCATGCCTGTGGTACATAACATAAGGCTGGCAGCCAACGTGATGTTTTAAAAAAGGTGAAAATATTGATGTGTAGATGGATGAGTTTTGTTACCAGATAATAAATAATAAGAAAACCAATGTATTTACAGTAAGTTTGGATTTGTTGTGGGTGAAGATAAAATGAGAGTGGCTTGTCAAGGATGTTGAACATGCTTGACATATTGGATGAGTTTTGTTACCTGAACATGCTTGACATGTTGGAAAAGAGTGATTTGGTCGAAATGCCTATTGGAAACCATGTGGTACATGAAAAACAATCCAACATCAGATAAACATAGGACGATGGCTTCATATGCAAAGATTAGACCAAACCACCCTGAGCTTGAGGTTAAACTTTTGAGCCAATCTTGAGTTCTATTGTATATGAGCCTATATTCTAATATTTCAAGGTGTTGAGAAGACAAGAAGAAGGTCCAAGAGGACATGCCAAGGACGTTGAAAGCCATGTCTGCCTTTGGTTTAGATTGGCGTTTCAAAATTCTAAGACTTGACTGGAAAAAAGTGCTTGGCTAGCCACGTTGAGTTTAACCATATCCAATATTTTTCTAAAGTTAGTATGTGGATTGAATATCAATTTTTAAAAAAGTAATCCTAGAATATATTAAAAATTGGGCTTATGCCATTAAAAAGCTATCCTAGAATAGATTCTTTATTAGGTTACTCCATTGAAGAACAAGGAAATGTGGATTATTAAGATAATTCAAATATTGAACTACCATCTACTGTAAAAGTTTAAGTTGTTAGGGAGAATGTAACTTAACTATTTATATTTCAAAATGCCCCATTACATGGAGGCTAAATTTTGGGTTTAGCATGTGAAAATCTTTTAATCATTAGGGTGGCGGCGAGATTCGAACTCGAGTACCATGTTGAACAACCATTTACTCTAGAAGCTTAAGCTGTTATGGAGGGTGTAATTTAAGTATTTATACGTCAACACCAACACAACACTGCTCACTTACAAACACCTTGAACCACCATGTTTTCTATCAGAATAGATTTCTTGGAACTCATCTGCCCCAACTTTATCCAAATCTGTAAGTGGATAATAGCTTCCTTTAATTCGCATTTCACTAGCAAAAGAAATTTTAGCAATTCCTTATTTATGATCATGACTATAATGACATATAGAAATATATTGTCAGCAACTATGAACATATTACNGTTTTCTATCAGAATAGATTTCTTGGAACTCATCTGCCCCAACTTTATCCAAATCTGAAAGTGGATAATAGCTTCCTTTAATTCGCATTTCACTAGCAAAAGAAATTTTAGCAATTACTTATTTATGATCATGACTATAATGACATATAGAAATATATTGTCAGCAACTATGAACATATTACGTAAAAGAATTTTTGATAGAGATCGAAAAATGATTGGATAAGCTTAAATTGACATTTTCAGTAGAAAAGTAATTAAGAGTGTGATTATGAAACTCTTTTAAAATTTTAGTAGGAGACTTGATTAATAAATATTCATGTAGAGAGTGATATTAGTAAAATTGTTCCTAAGCGAAAAATTTGTGTATTTCTTGATCTAATCATTGGGAGGATTTGGTATTTTTTTTTTCTATTTTCTGATTTCTTCTTTTTCTAGTCCTATATCATATCCCTACTATTTCATTGTAAAATGTGATAAAAATTGAAGTGTTTCTTTGTGTAGAATGTGTGTTTCTTGACCTAATCCATTCAAGGATTTGATTTCGCTTCTTCTTGTGTTCTATTATCTTCTTTTTTCCTCTTCCGTCCTTCATTAATTTTGTTTTCGAAAATAGATTTAGCCCTTGAACTTGCTAGATAGTATTCCATTGGGGTGCTCATTATTGCCATTCTGTTGAGTTCCAAGTCACTTTTTAATCGAATATTGTTCTCATTTGCAACGCACTAGCTAAAGAAGCCTTTCAGAAGTGTACTACATCTACGGCTGTGATCATGTTTAATACTGTCAATATCGTTGTTAGAGATGTCTCTTTTGGGTGCATTAATACACAATTCCGGTTTTAAAAATATACCAACTTCTAGATTCTGTTCAACACCTAATTTAGCCAAATGGTTATTTGTGCCAATTGGAAACCAGAATAGGAATTTTGTGATATTGGATCCATCTGATGCTTTGGAGTCATGGTGGATCTAGCCCGAGAGGTATGACCTACCCATCTCTACTGAGACCATGGTTCAAAGTATCAGCCGAGTCCGAGTCAACTCGGCTGAGTCATATCCGTCTCAGTAGGTGCCGATCCGATAACGATACACGTTACACTAATGTAATGAGATTCGACTGAATAGGTCCTGACTTGGTGGTATCAGCCAAACTCGGAGCTAAATCTGTTGGACTCGGTCGAGTCGAACTGAGTCAGATGGCTATGTTGCAACCAGATCTAGAAAATTTGAACAACAAAAACCCTAAAAAAAAGAGAANATCCGTCTCAGTAGGTGCCGATCCGATAACGATACACGTTACACTAATGTAATGAGATTCGACTGAATAGGTCCTGACTTGGTGGTATCGGCCAAACTCGGAACTAAATCTGTTGGACTCGGTCGAGTCGAATTGAGTCAGATGGCTATGTTGCAACCAGATCTAGAAAATCTGAACAACAAAAACCCTAAAAAAAAGAGAAAGGAAGTAGAAAATGGACGAGACTCACTTGCATATTTATGGGTTAGGTTGAATTCGTAACAAAATAAGCAAATGAAAAGGGGATTGATAAGAAATAAAACAAAAAAACAAATGTCCATCAGTTAAAAACCCACAAAAATTTAGCAATTTTTCGAAATTGAAATCCTAAATCAGTGACAAAAAAACCTACCAGCCCCAAATCACACTTTTTTGGAATTATAAGAACAAAAGAAGAACATAAGTATATGTAATAAAAACCTGCAAATCTTCATCTTCTTCTTCTACTTTTTGTCGCGATTTAGGAGCAGAGCTGGAGTGCCCAACATTATCTCTTCTTTTCTAGTAGCACGAAGGTTCTCTCTACCTTCACGAATCACGATCAGCTCGCACTCTACAACAGTTGCCCCTTCTCTCTCTCTCTTCGCGTTCGACAAAATGAAAGTGCTAGACTGTTGGGTACCCAATAGTCAATAAAAATAGCATTAGTATTATATATATATATATATATATATATATATATATATATATATATATGTGGGAGTATACCATGTATATTAAAACCCTATTTAATTATTATAAAATTAGATTGCATGATTATTATATATGTAAATATATAAACTAAAATTTCTTTAAATTCTTATATATAATTTTTTTTTTATAAACACACATAAATCAAATTGATTTTTTTTTTGTATTTTTCATATGTTGTTTAATTATCAAATGTGGCAATAATTATAGGTCAGCATTTTTTTTAATGTTTAAATTGAGTATCATAAATATAAATATTTTTGGTAACGCCCTTATAATTCATTTTTACTATGTTTAATGTCTTAGATTATGCATTTTGACATATGATCTATGGATGATGTTGTTTATATTTTCAAATATTTTTCATAATTTTTTTAGAATTTTTTGAGCTTCTATCTAGTATTTTGAACGTATCAGTAAATACCGTGCCGAGACGCCACGACCGATGTGTATTAGTGCCCTTCGAGTCGATGATCGATACCGCAACTTTGAACCATGACTAAGACACAGGGTTTAGAACCTCAGTGGGGACCTAGGGATTAGGGTGTTGGTAACCCGGTCTATGGGCTGAGATGAGGTAAACTACCAAAAAGAAAGAGGATTATAAATGATGGTTTCAAACACAATCTCTAGTTTCTAGGCTACCTTTCCTAGGGACAAAATCTTTAAATAATGTTTTGACTTGAAGAATATTTCTTCACTATGTTTACCCAGAAACCTTTAGGTCTGTGACGTATGTCCAGCCCAATTTTTCTAGGTTTTAGAACTGGAAAAATTCATAATATCAAGGGTTCCTTGGGCCTTTAGCATGCAAATACTGTAGGGTTGGTGGAATGTACCATTTATAATGTGGAGTATTTGATATTGTTTAAGGGAGAGGACTGGTTGGGTAGGGTACTATAAGAGGACTACATATCTCCTTGTTAGACCCAAAAAAAAAAAAAAAGGAAATAAAATATAAGCAAGAGCTGCTCTTCCAGTTTGTGAACAAATTAGTAGCTTGTATAATTAGATATCTGCAAAAGAGTTACGAACAGTGTGGATAGAAACCACGTTTACCTTCCCTTTGAATTACATTTTCTGAAATGTGAGGAAATAGTTTATCAACTTTCTGGCTGGAGGGTCTGCAATAACGGTATAAATTAAGGTAAATTAAGTATATGCTTTCCTAAAAGCACTTGGGGCAGGAGTCCGTATTTAGAATTTTGTCATCATGATCTTTGTCAAGTTTTTTAAGTTTTCACTTCTCTGTTCGCCATCCTTATATTTTCCCCACTAGTACTATGTCTGATAAGACTTTAAGCTTATCACAAAAGAATGACAAAAGAACTTTAACATGGTTGAGGACATGTGCAAAAAGAGAAAATTATATGTGTGATTTCTCATATGTTCTTTCTTATATTTTTCCTAAGTTAAAAGCGATAATTGATCCCCCTTCTTCAGATATTCTTGCTTGAAATATGATTTTTTCCCGTGACGTTCATTTGCCTCTCACGTTAAAAATAGTCAATGCTCATAATTTAATTTGTTAATTGTTTGCCTCATTTTTTTTTCCCACTCTCCTTGTCTTGAATAGCATCTCAGAGCATTCAGTCCCAAGTTAATAGCCAAGGACAACCACTTCCTAATCCCATGGTGACTAATCAGTCTCAAGCACGCCAGCAGATATTATCCCAAAACATTCAGAGTAACATCACATCAACTGGAGTGCAAGGTGCTGTTGGTTTAACATCTGCACTACCACCCGTTGGCAATTTAACTCAGAATACGGTGCCGAATGCAGTTGGCCATAATTCCAGTTTGCAGAACATTCAAAACATCTCAGGGGTTTCACAGTCCAATATTTTTTCCAATTCTCAGCGACAGATTCAGGGAAGGCAACAACAGGTTGTTCCCCAACAGCAACAGCAGCAGTCTCAGAATTATCTTTACCAGCAGCAGCAGCAGCTACAACAGCAGCTTATGAAGCAGAAGCTCCAGCAGGGAAGTGTCCCACACCCCCTAATGCAATCTCACATCCAGCAACAGCAACAGCAACAGCAACAGAACCTCCTGCAATCAACTCAGTTGCAGTCTTCTCAGCAATCTGTCATGCAGCCTAATATGATGCAATCAGCTCCGCCCACTGGCCATCAACAGAATCAACAGTCTTCCATTCAACAACCCACCCAAGCTGTGCTTCAGCAACACTCTCAATCTGTCCTCAGACAACAGCAGCAGCCGCAGCAGGCTGCCATTATGCACCAACAGCCGACACAGATGCAGCAACAGCAGCATCTAGTGGGGCAGCAGCCCAATGCTGCAAACATGCAACAAAACCAGCTAATTGGGCAACAAAACAGCATTCCTGATATGCAGCAGCAGCAGCAACAGCAACAGCAACAGCAGCAACAGAGGTTGCTAAGCCAGCAGAATAATCTTCCAAACCTACAGCAGCAGCAGCTGCAGCATCAGTTAATGGGTCAACAAAACAACCTCACAAATATGCATCAGCAGCAGTTGGGACCTCAAAGTAATGTTTCTGGGCTCCAGCAGCAGCAGTTAATTGGAACTCAGTCTGGTAATTCTGGCATGACGAGTAATCAGCAATCTGTACACATGTCCAAGGTTCCAGTTCAGCAACAAACCCAGCAGAGCACACCAACTCTGCTACACACTCAAGGGCAGCAGTCACAAGCACAGCTGCAGCAGCAGATGATGCCACAGATTCAATCACAGCCAGGACAGTTGCAGCAGCAGTTAGGCTTGCAACAGCAACAAAGTACCCTACAACGAGATATGCATCAAAGGCTTCAAACATCTGGCCCCTTGCATCAGCAGCAGAATGTAATGGATCAACAGAAGCAGCTATTCCACTCACAAAGAGCCATTCCGGAGGCATCATCGAGTATGTAATTGTATTTATGCAACTTCGATCATGTTCTTATTCTCCATTTCTTTTTCTAATCTTGTGCTTATGTTATTATTCATTTCATATATGCACAGTGTCGATTTTTTCTCCTTGCAACTTTTTACCTTTCGTTTCTAATTATACTAACCCAGCAGTTAATAAGAAGCTTCAAGGTATGTGGTTTTTCCTTTTGATCCTTTTTTTGGAAATAGAACCCATCCGGGCTGGACCGAGGAGGGAGGGGGGGGGGGAAGATTACAACACAATGCCCTGCAACTTTGGTTCACACAAAAATTTCTTGACCCTGCCATTGCATAGTTTTGTGGATGTAAAATTGTTCTCCTTTCTAGAAAATGATTGACATACGCTAGTTCTTATTTTATTTTTATGTTTACGTTCCATCATGGATGGGTTCTCAATCAGATAGGGCATATATTGTGCTTATTTTTTTTTTTTTTGTGTAGCTTCTTTAGATTCCACAGCTCAGACAGGGAATGCAAGTGCCGGAGATTGGCAGGAGGAGGTTTATCAAAAGGTAAAATATGATGTGTTCTTTGGTAGTAGTTTTTTTATGATTTTTGAAAGGAACACAGAGGATTAGGGTGCATTAGTGTTGGAAAATAAGTGGAGTTTTAGATTGGGAATTAGCTTTTCACTAATTATGGTTACTACAATGACTTAAAAGTTGCTAGGTGCTTCAGAGATGCTGAAAGATATAAAAGAAGTTAACCAGAAGCCCAACACGTCAAAGAATGGCATCATAGGGTTTGAATTGAGTACTCAAATTCGGCATTCAAATGATAAATATTATGCATTAATTCTTTGAGGAAAACATTGCAATGTTTCATCTAGTTCCCACTACTCCTGTTGACTATNTTTGAATTGAGTACTCAAATTCGGCATTCAAATGATAAATATTATGCATTAATTCTTAGAGGAAAACATTGCAATGTTTCATCTAGTTCCCACTACTCCTGTTGACTACGTGGAACTTGTGAAAATGCTATTCCGGATCATCTACTCATCAGTAGAATATTAGCTAAAACATAAATTCTACAAAATAGATACAAGGCCATCCACTCTTATGGTAGAGAGCAAAAAGTGTTACTGAAATGCCGATAATAACAAATACGTATGGTATAACAAGGAAGGATTGAGTTAGGAATGACTGACTTGTGAAATGGCAAAAGTTGTGTGAGTAAGAGATAAATTGAGAGAGAAATGACTAAGGCAGTTTGGCATGTTCAAAGAAAACCTATAAATATAGTAGTGAGTGAGAATGAAGTGATAAAGTCAGACAAAAAATAACAATGGCTAAGAGATTGCAGAATGATATGATAGCTCGTGGTTTATTAAAAAATAAGACAGCGGGACCGAGCACAATGCGTAACAAGATTCATGTAACCAGTTCAAAAGCTGTAACAAGTCTTTTTGGAGTTATTAATTGGTTTTGTTCTTTGTTTCATGGTTGAATAATGATGGACAATGTGTCTTTATCTTAATACTTCAGTGGTAACAACAAGAATATTGTTACACATAAGATTTCGTAAAAGAACATTGTCCAGCAGTTATAGAATTATGCTTAGTAATCTGCACTTTTCTCTTCTAGGCTCAGATAAATGAGGAAGAAAAGGAACTTAGCTGTTACGATGAATGGACAGCCTACATGTCCATCATCGCGTTTATTTGTTAAGGTGAGGTTATGTTGGCACTGGCTTAAGAGAGGAGTTGGGAGAGAGGATACTTTGGAATGCTATTATCGAACTTTACAATACATTTGTTTCCTTCAAATTTTTTGATGCTTACTGTTGAGTTTTATTAGTGAAAAGGATGACCTAGTGCACGGGGTGCTCACTTGCGGTAGTTAGGGTAGGTCAGATGTGGGCAGCCTTGCACCGCATGCAGAGAGGCTATTTTTTGAGAATTGTTGAGTTGCATTAGTATTGAAATATATACATATTTATGTTTTACTCTCTCTTAACAATTCAAAATTTTAGAATAGATGGTGGTTTCATTCCAATCTTGTTGTCACTCATGCTTGCACGTGCAGGGCATTGCTATACTTTTTCTAACAACGTAATCTTTTAGAGTGGATGGNTAGAATAGATGGTGGTTTCATTCCAATCTTGTTGTCACTCATGCTTGCACGTGCAGGACATTGCTATACTTTTTCTAACAACCTAATCTTTTAGAGTGGATGGTTTCATTCTAATCACGCATAACATATTATCAAAAGATTCGAGATGTGCAATTGCTCTCAATTTTTCTCTTTTTAGCATTTATAGACCGATACGATCAGGATCGATATTTCGTATCGGTTATCTTGGAAGTAGAAATGTTTTGGAGATGTTTAGAAGATAGAGAAAAAAAATTAAATTTTGGTTTCGAAACATTAGCTGAAACATTCCTATATGTTCCCTAAAAGAGAATTTTGATTTTCCATTACTGATTTCGTTTTTTTCCACTGTAACCGAATTGATTCGGTCAATTTGGTGGATACGAAACAAACTTTTGATCCCTGCATACAATTTAAGATGAATTCAAATATGATGTACGACTTTGAGCTTGTATGTATGAGGATCTTTTTCTGTATTCTGCGTTTCTCAATGGGTGGTAGGTAGAGAGAATAGCATATATGGTAACTTTTGTCAATCCTTGCCTGCTATATTTCTACCTTCATATTTCTTGTGGATTGCTAATGTGTAAGTACCTAAGACGACAGTTCCGTCTCTCTAGTCATATATGAATAAATTAGTAGAAGACTCAAGTGAGATGATTTCATGCAAGATTTTTGGCTCACTGCTTGTATCTTTGAAATTTTTGTTTGTTCTTTCTCTTTCTGTTTTCGTCTATGATATGTTTGTTCCTTTTCTTTTGTGTTTATTTTAAAAGTTGGCAATTAAAGTAGGTTGCACTGAAGTAAATGAACAAGCAAGGGGAAAAATGATTCTTTTTTTTCATTTGCCATGATTTTCAAGTGGGTATATGTATCACTACCCTTCGGTAGAACATTGAACCTGAAATTATGAAGCTTCTATTTGCAGATTAAGGCCATGAAGGAGAGGTATTTTCCAGAACTAGGTGAAATGTACCAGAAAATTGCTGTTAGATTGCAGCAGGTAAGTCACAAAATCTGTGTGAATTTTGCAGCGTTCTAAACAGCCTCTACCATCCCAGTTACGGTGGTGGGTAATTTTTAGTTGGTATTTGAGGTTGGTCTATGGGTTCTCTTAGGACTCCATGTGAACAATGACTTCTACCTGCAAAGAAAAAAGAACAGTGTCATTTCAAACTTTGTTGTCTGATTTCTTTACAGATGCATGTGGGAAGCAACCAGAAGCTTCCATTGAACACATTGCCAAACAACCCATCCCCATCCAATATCCAACCGAAAAAAAAAAGCAACATTAAGTTTCTGTACAAGTTAGAAGATATTTTGTACTGTCTTCCTATTATGCAGATCTACTTTCCCAATTTTGATTCCATGACACTTTTATTTCTGATTGTTGTCCAGCATGATTCTCTTCCTCAGCAACCAAATAATGATCAATTTGAGAAGCTCAAGATATTTAAGGCTATGTTAGAGCGTCTTATGGCATTTTTAACAGCTTCAAAGAGCAGTATTACACCTGCTGTGAGGGACAAGTTGGGATCCTATGAGAAGCAGATAACTAGTTTTTTGAATTCAAATAGGCCCCGTAGGCCTGTTTCTTCATTGCAGCAAGGGCAACAACTCCCCCCAGCTCATATGCATTCAATGCAGCAACCACAAGCACAGTCTCAAAATACTCAATTACAGCCTCATGAAAATCCAATGAACTCCCAGATGCAATCAATGAACTTACAAGGTTCTGTCGCAACAATTCAGCAGAACAACATGACCAGCTTGCAACAATTGGCTTCCGTACCTGGGGTTTCAAATGCTCAGCAGAACATGATAAATACGCTACAGCCTAGTTCCAATTTGGATCCAGGACAAGCTAATGCACTGAATTCGTTACAGCAGATTGCTGTTGGATCTCTACAACAAAATCCGGTGAATGGTGCACAACAGGTGAACATGAATTCCTTATCATCCCAAAGTGGGATGACTACACTACAGGCTAACCTTAATCCCCTTCAGTCGAATTCATCTGTGCTTCAGCACCAGCAGCTGAAACAGCAGGAGCAGCACATGCTACAGACACAACAACAGCGCCGGCTGCAGCAGTTGATGCATAATAAACAGCTAATGCAACAGCAGCAGCATCAACAACTGCAGCAGCAGCAGCAGCAGCAGCAGACAAAGCAACAGCAGCCTGCACAGTTGCAGACAAACCAGATGCAACAGCTTCACCCGATGACTGATGTTAATGACTTGAAGATGAGACAGCAGATGGGCGTTAAATCAGGAGTTCCGCAGCAACATCATTCAGCCAGCCAGCGCTTAGCTTATCAGCACCAACAATTGAAGTCAGGAACTCAATTTCCTATTTCTTCACCACAACTCCTTCCGGTTGCATCACCTCAAATACCCCAACATCCTTCTCCGCAAATCGACCAGCAAAATCTGCTTACATCTCTTACTAAAGCTGGAACCCCTTTGCAATCTGCAAACTCACCCTTTGTTGTCCCATCTCCTTCAACTCCATTAGCTCCATCCCCGATGCTAGGGGAGTCTGAGAAAGTGACCTCTGGTGTTTCTGCACTGTCTAATACTGGAAATATTGGACATCAACAAACAGCTGGCGCACTTGCACCAGCCCAATCCCTTGCCATCGGCACTCCTGGAATATCGGCCTCACCTTTGCTTGCAGAGTTCACTAGTCCAGATGGCAATCATGGTAATTCGATGACGGCTGTTTCTGGCAAGTCAAGCATTACAGAGCAGCCTCTTGAACGCTTAATCAAAGCTGTGAGTTTTGGCTTCCCCTGTGATTGGTTTGGTGCATAATGATTCTATTCTTAAGGAACCTTAGTTAGATTGTTCTATTGATTAATTTTATCTGTACGCATAAATTTTAAAATATCTTCATTTTCAGGTAAAGTCAATGTCACCTAAAGCATTGAGTGCCTCAGTGAGTGACATTAGCTCAGTTGTCAGTATGATCGATAGGATAGCAGGATCAGCACCTGGTAATGGATCCAGAGCTGCTGTTGGTGAGGATTTGGTAGCCATGACAAAGTGTCGTCTACAGGCAAGGAACTTTATCGCACAAGAAGGGACGACCGGAACAAGGAAGATGAAGCGCTGTACAAGTGCAATGCCTTTAAATGTTGTGTCATCTGCTGATAGTTTTAAACAGTTGACTAGTTCCGAAGCATCTGACCTGGAGTCAACAGCGACATCTATTATTAAGAGGCCCAGAACTGAGGTATTATTTCTTCTATTTGATTTCCTTCTGAAAGTATCGAAACTATTAAATGTGGGCTTTATTTGCATGTGAAAACTCTAATAAAGAACTTTTTCTGGATTTCTTAAAGATCCCGAGACCTATTTGCTAATCCAATGCTTTAGGTGGAATTTTTTTGGGTTTTTTTCCTAAGTCGAGCAACTTTGTTACTCAACTATTAAAAATGTGAGATCCTATCCACACTCTGTTGTGCCTTATATTGTGTAGTTGATATTTAATTTAACCATAACCCCAAAAATTCCAGTGAGATCCTATACATGTTTGGTTGTAGTAAGACATGTCAGATGATAAGAAGGAAAGCCTAGTCTAGTGCAAAATGCTCCTGTAATTGCAGGGTCTTACCTTACCTCCAGATGCAGAGAATCTATTTCAATGGCTTAAAATTCGTTATGCTTACATTGCGAGAAAACAACCTTATTGTTGCTCAAAGGGCCTAATGTTTATCGTAATTATTATTCTCATTATTTTTGTATCACATCAATATCATAACTCGTTCCAAACTAATGAGTTTTGTGGATCTTTCCTTTGAATGCCAAGTGGTTTTTAAGTTAGAAGTTTAACGTAGTATTAGAGCAAGGTCTTGTGTGGTAGTGGGCCAAGTCTCTCGCGTATTTCAATTACCGGGTTTGTTTGTTTATCTCGTTTGAACTGTTTTGTCAGTTTATTTATGAGCTAGAGTCGTCTGTGAGGGAGGTTGTGAGGAGAATTTGTATCACACAACATAATATTAGGGTCACCCTTGGTTGGTTATATGGTTGCGGGTCTTTTCGTCTATTGTCATTTGTTTTTGAGTTTTTGCATGCTAACAGAGCTGGGCTTTTTGGGAGGTTTTGGTCAATACGCCCCGTTTCAAATGTCATTGATTAGGTATTTGGTTTCCTTTTATCTGTGTCATAGGTGTGCTTTGTTTTATCTTTGATCTTGTCTTCTAGATCTTCAATCTAGCTCTTCATGTGCGACGGAGAATTAGTACTTGTCTTATATCATCTTAATGATACCTCTAAAAGTAGTATATGAATTTGGTGGAACTCTCTGTTGTAGTATATAAATACTTGGGTTAATTGCCCCAAAGTTTTCATTTCATCTCATTTTGGTCTTCAACGCTACAATTGTATCGCATTTGTCTCTAATGTAGAATTTATTTTTAAGTGGTGTCCATGTATAATGTTTAGATTTTTAATGATTTTTGCTTGTGTGGTTCCCACGTACTCCCAAATGATTGGACAACTCACTGCCTATTGGACCCAAAAATTGCAGCGGTGGTCCCCAAAGTATACGTTGTCTCATTTTGGTCCCCCAACATTACATTAATATGACGTCCAGATTTTTTAATAATTTCTCCCCGTGTGCTAGCCACATGCCCCCAAATGAAGGACATATTGAACAGACTACTGTCCACTTGACCCAAAAAATGTGTTGTTCCTAGAGAGAAATATTCTTGCAAAGGGCCAACTATTGTGGGGTTTGTGTTATTCCTTGTCAGTTGCAGATGGTGAGTTACAAGAAAGGGGCCAATACAAGTAGGAAAATGATTTGTCCAATATGCCCTTCTTTTTGGCGCACGTTGGTAGCACAGGAGCAGAAATCGTTAAAAATCTAGACAATGTCATGCGTGAGGACTACTTAGAAACAAATTGAATACATTAGGGACTAATGTGAATATGTGATATACTTGTAACGTTGGGGACCAAAATAAGATGAAGTGCATACTTTGGGGACCACTAGCGTAATTTCTGGTTTAAGTAAACAGTGATTTGTCCAATATGCCATTTATGTGGGAATACATGAGCAAAAACCGTTAAAAATCTGGACGGCATCATATGTGGGGACCACTTAAAAATAAATTGAATACATCAAAGAGTAATTTGATACAATTATAACATTGGGGACCAAAATGAGACATGCAAATGTAGGGGACCACCACCTCAATTAACCCTAATACTTATATTGTAAAGCTTTTAAGCTATCATACCAATTGATTTTCAGCTGGATCCCTTAAAGACGTATGTTTTACAACGTTAAACAACTTAAGCTTTTAGATTAGTTAATGGTTTGACACACTACTGTTTTTTAGTTGGACGCCTGAATTCGTTGTCATATAAGTTTTTCGATTTGATATTATTCTTTCAATAATAAGGTAGTTATGGAGAGGATGGAATGTGAGAAGCTTAATTTCACTACAAAAAGAAGCACCTTTGTTTTCTAGGATCATTGTTAGTGATTTAACTAAGGTAAATGTGAAAAAGGAAAACTTTCAGGGGTGGGCAGACAGGATCCCGAAAATATTCGTAGTTTCTAGGCCTGGGTGCATCTTGGAGGTTATACTGCTAAGGTTGTGAACTTCTGATACTGGCATTAAAGAGCAGTCCAGAGAGAACCATGGTGCTTCCTTGGTCCCTGGCTATGGCTGATACAGAGTTACCTTAATCTATTTTCAGATGATGGCTGAATATGATATCCTGAAACTCCTTTGCCTTTTTGCATTTATGAAGCCTGATTTGTTTCCTTTAAGAACACTAAAGATTAGAACTACCTTGGAAAACCATTATTCTGTTGTTCTGCATTATCTTTATAGGGGGGTGAATTGCATTCTATGTTACCTATCTACCCTTTGTTGATTGCAAGGAGCCAAATCTTTTTTGTTCAACCTTCTTTTATCAATTGCAAGTATTCCTTATTTAGTGCCATAGTCCATGATGGAGGGGTGAACCTAGAACTATTTCATTTTCCTTTGCTTTTTTGCTCCCTTTTGTTTTGGTTTTTGCACAAAACCACTATAATAACAAAGAAAGGTCACCGAGTCCAATAATGTTTTTTTCTTGGACAACTTTAATTTTATTAATTTCTAAAATATTTAAATCTTGATATACAACCCCTCAAACAAACTTTTATTGTTAGGTGTTCTGGAATTGGTTGTATTACTATTTTCAAATGATCAGTAAAATGTAAATAAATTATCTATTGGCTCGTAGGATTAAGATCAATGTCCTCATTGCTCAAATTTTTTGTGGGGTAAATGACACTTCACCCGAGTTTTGTGCAAATGTTATGGCCATCTTGGCTTTTTCCAAATTTCATGATCACCTTCTATCCATGCTATTAATTGGATGCTGTTAATAAGGGGACTGAATTGACCAGTTTAACTCCATTTTTTACTCGACCAAAATATAAGGAGTCAACATTTTGCAAATAGACAAATGGCCCTTCAAGATTGGGAAACTGCTTATGAAGTTAGTGTTTAATTGAAATGGAATGCAATGGTTATGTGAATTAAATTCCTCAGGGAAATTTTTATAGCATATTGGTGCATTTAGCTTGTATTTTGCAAATGTCTGAATTTAAGCTAGTTATAGGACATGTCATTGGGTCTAACTCAAGGGTGTCGGTGTAATTTATCCCTGCTCGTATTGTAGATGGGAAGCTTAAATTACCAGGTTAGGTAGTATCTCCATTGGATTGGGAACAAAAAATAAAGGTATTGGTATTGGATAAACATTTTCTCAACTATTTTGGAATGTGATACTACACTTACTATTTGGCTAATAGATGTTCCACAAATGATATCACTGAAAGCATTTCAATAGTNTGTCATTGGGTCTAACTCAAGGGTGTCGGTGTAATTTATCCCTGCTCGTATTGTAGACGGGAAGCTTAAATTACCAGGTTAGGTAGTATCTCCATTGGATTGGGAACAAAAAATAAAGGTATTGGTATTGGATAAACATTTTGTCAACTATTTTGGAATGTGATACTACACTTACTATTTGGCTAATAGATGTTCCACAAATGATATCACTGAAAGCATTTCAATAGGCTTGCATCTCTTTCACTTTTGTATTTATGTATTCGGAAAGAAGAGTAGGGATGTTTCATGTTAAATGAGAACTTAACCCAGAGGTGGGAAAAGAATACTGGAATCATCAAGTATGCTTGTATTGGCAAGATTATGCAAAAAGGCTCATGACATAAATGTTGTTAAGAGACTTAAAACCCTGGAGGAAAGGTTCAATCAACTTTGGGATAAGAGGTGAGAACTCAAGGCAGCCCATGGTGACAGAGAGAGAAAGGGGGAGGGGAAGAGAGTGAGTGTTGTGATAGTCTCCATAGAGAAGCTATCAGAGATTCAAGTTTAGAGCATGGTTCAGGGATTGTTTAGTACATATGAGGGCTCGAAACTCTAGTAGTAGGGTTATTTATTGTAGTTAATGGAAAAGGTACACCTAAGGATAAACATGAGGTTGAAAAGATGCAGAAAGAGTGTATTACCAAGTGGTTCTATGCCCATGAAGTTCCATGTGTGGAAGTGTACAGGTTTGTTGGTTGGCCTGACACGTGTAAAGGTGGGAATTTTTCTCATACTACTGACAGATCTGGTTGTAGTTCAGTGTTGTGGACAAGACACAACACCCTGATGGGTCCTTTGTCTTAATGATCATGTCACAAACCTTGTGTGGTTCTCATGGTACAGATCAAAACACTGCCTTGCTGGACAAGACCAATTCTTGTGGTATCCTATGCTTTGAAGTATCCTTGGGTCTAGTGGTCGAAGCTCAGGAAAGAAAATCAGTTGTAGTGACCAACTTATATTTAATGTATATGATATGTTATTTCTTATAATGGAGGGGAATTAGGCACATGACCACTACCTGTGGGATGTTGCACCATGGGATGCCCTACTCCACTCCAATGGGGCTGCAAGGGAGTGTGTGGTACAGCCCACGTAAGAGACATGTCCAGGGTGTGGTAAAACCCACATAAGAGACATTTTCGAGCACCTTTTGGATGGGAGTATGATGAATACATCTTCGGTGATGCAGTCATTGGTACCAACCGTGTTGTGGTGAACGACCAGTACTAATATTGTCTAAAATAGTAAAGAAAAATATGATATGTAGTTGTTTGTTGAAGGATGTGGTCATAATAGATGGCAAAAGAGGGATTGATGTGGCCAATCCTAGTTTTTTTTTTTCCTTCTAGCAATCTTCATTTCACTTTTCAAATTTATGACGGGTAAGGCTTTGTTAAGTGGAACTTTTGAAGCAAGAACCGTGCGAAAGATTTCTTTCAAACAAAATTAATAACCTACTTAATTCTAAGTCCTACTCAAAATGAGATTTTATTAGAAATGATTCTAACCCAACGTGCAAGTTCTTTTTGAACAAGTCCTCCTATTATCTGTTTGTATAAACTTGTACAATTTAGCAGTCTCCAGATTATGTGGTTGTAGAGTACACCCAATTCTGTGCACCCTGACCCTGAATTGGCACCACCTCAAGTGAAGGTTTAGAATTCGATATATTTTCCATGAAAAATGGGCAAATTCCTAGTTCAACGCCCTTCGCAAGGAGATAAATATAAATCACCAAAAGCCTCTTACCACAAAAATGACAAAAAAATCCGTAAATAACCCTTTTATACCAAATGACTGATTTACTTCAACTAGAACGCCAAACATATTTTTCACAAGCCACAATGAGCTATGATTTGTCCCTTATTTTTTTAATTTGTTTGCATATATTTTTGGTGAAATGTGTGAAAGACTAAGGAACCTTTGCTTCATGCAAAAATAATAAATTTTGGGACTATTCTAGAGAGTTGTCATTAAGAAATATGTGATAACAATTTGGCAAGTTATATGAACATGAATCCATAAGTACCATTAACCATGAAATTTAAATACAACATTGAATATTATAAAAAGTTAGTAAATAGCATAGACATGTATATCGAATATAGTTAGATTATTACAAGTAAGGGTTGAAGAGAGAATTAGGGAAAATCATGCATAATGTAACACTCCCTTTTAAGTTGGTGCCTAGATATTTTTCATGTCCAACTTGCACACAATGGGGTGAAAAACCTTGTTATTAAGCCTCTTTGTAAAGATGTCAGCCAACTAGTTTTCTGATTTCACAAAAGGCATGCAAATGAAACTCTTGTTTAATTTTTTCTTAGTAAAGTGTCGGTTAATTTCAACATGTTTAGTTCTGTTATGTTGGAATGGATTTTGGTAATGCTGATAGCAGCCTTATTATGACAGTATAGTAGTCTCAATAGATCCATCATCAGCCTCCGCACTGGACCTAGCCATCATTGCCTCTTTTTTTGCTTCGCCATGTGACTAGATTACCTCCAATTAAGGTACAACATTTTCATTTAAGCCGTATTACCTGATACCGCGCTGCGACGCCGCGACTGATGTGTCTCAAAACTCTCTNCCATCATTGCCTCTTTTTTTGCTTCGCCATGTGACTAGATTACCTCCAATTAAGGTATAACATTTTCATTTAAGCCGTATTACCTGATACCGCGCTGCGACGCCGCGACTGATGTGTCTCAAAATTCTCCNCAATTAAGGTATAACATTTTCATTTAAGCCGTATTACCTGATACCGCGCTGCGACGCCGCGACTGATGTGTCTCAAAACTCTCTGAATCGATGGCCGATATCGCAATCTTGAACCATGATAGAGAAGCTTCTTCGGTTTACACACCTTCGAGATTAAAATTTTGGAGGAATCTTTATGTATACATCCTCCACAAAATCTTCATGAAGGAAGGTATTCTTCACATTTAATTGCTGCAAATCTCACTCCAAATTAGTTTCACGAGATAAGCGCACGAATGTAGTTCATCTTTGCTACATTAGCAAAAATCAATACCATATGTCTGCATAAATCCTTTAGCAACCAATCTAGCTTTGTATCTCTCGACAATCCCATCAACTTGTTGTTTGATGGTAAACACCCATCTACACCCTACTGTCCCGTGCTCCTAGAGGAATAGAAATAAACTCCCATGTGTCGTTCTTTTTCAATACTTTCATTTCCTGTACCATAGCTTCTCTTCATTTAGGATTAGTGAGAGTCTCTTTCTAACCCTAAGGAATAGATGTAGAAGAGAAGGAAGAAACAAATGTACGATATGATGGAGATAAGGAATCATAAGAAACAAAGTTAGAGATAGGATGCTGAGCCTTCTTAACTGTAATGAGAAGTCAGAGTCATCAACAATTGGAGGATTAACACTTGAAAATTCATTACCTGACAAATCAGTGGAAGATGGAACTAAAGTAGTGGAATTCAACTGGTTTGGCGACACATGGGTAATTTGTACCTTTTGTCGTCGAGTATAAGTCTTCATATTATCCTTGTGAAGATGATCAACATGTGACTCATTAATATCACCTTTTTTCTCCTTAAGCTATTGCTCCCCCTCACTAATATTCCATTGTTGAAGAAGAGGCTCCTAAAAAAACAACTCTTCCTTTATAGTGACATTCTCTCCCTTAAGAGATATCTTGGGTAGTTTGGAAGAAGGGCTCAAATTCACGAAAGTTAACATTCATGCTAATTTGAGACCGTGAATGATAGCATTTGTATCCTTTTTGGGTGGCAATGTAATCAACAAAGCTACATCGCAGAGCCCTAGGATCAAGTTTTTCCCTAGAGGGTCTGTAATCATGAACAAAACAAACACACCCAATGATTTTAGGAGGAAAGAAAGAAATGGAAGCGATAAAATAATACTCAGAAAAACACTCAATCGGTGACTTAAACTTAAGGACATTCGAGGGTAGACAATTAATAAGATAAGTAGTAGTAAGAACAACATCTCTCAGAACGATTGAGGAATATTCATAGTAAACAACAATGAACCTTCATCTTCAAGAAGAAGATAATTTTTTTGCTCAACAACACCATTTTGTTCAAGAGTACTCACATAGGTGGTTTGACATAGAATTACATTCTCATTGAGAGAAGAACGAAATTTTCTATCAATATACTCAGTTCCATTATCACTACAAAGGATTTTAACATTGGCATCAAATTGGGTACTAAACATTTTATAAAAACATATAAAGCATAAGAAAACTTCACATTTACTGCGTAGTAGGTAAATCCTAGTAATACGAGAATAACAATCAATAAATATAACAAATCAACGATAACCAAATATTGACAACACGGGAAGGGCCCCAAACATTAGAATGAATAACAAAAAGAGGTGCAGTGTTTCTGTTATTAGTACTAAGGATAAGATGAACATTTATGCGTGACAAATTCACAAGCATCATAAACAAAAATTGTCTACTACATTACTTCACTAGACTAAAAAAAAATATGTTCTAAAACACTAAATGAGGGATGCTCCAAACATCTGTGCCACTGATGTAAGAACTGATGGGCCGAACATCATCTACTTGGAGAGCTTGACAGCTAGACTAAGAAGAAACTGCAGCATCCAGGAGATACAGACCACAATATGCTCTACCATTGCCAATCGATTTTCTTGATTCTAGTTCCTGAAAGGTACAATGAGTAGGAAAGAAAGTCATTAAAATGAGCAAGTAATTGAATCTTTCCCAGAAATAAAGAATAAAGATCCATCAACCATCTTGACTTTATCCCTTCCAGAACATGTAGAATATGAAAAGAAAAAACTAGAAGAATTTGTCATGTGATATGTGGCTCCAGAATCTATTATCCAAGGAGTGTATGAGGATGACATTGTAAATGCACTAGCAGATATACCTGTATAAGCAAAGTTGGAAGAAGCGGCAGAGGCAGGATTTGTAGTAAAGGAAATATTAAGCCGAGCCATCAAACGTCTAAAATTTTGCATCTCATCTTAAGAGAAATTAGAGAGAGTAAACTGAGATAGAATCTTTGAAGATTCACTTGTGTGTGTGAGAGTGGACATTATCCCCTTCAACCACGTGTAGGATGTCCAGTCAGCTTCTAACAGAACTCCTTATTATGTCTGGTCTGGTCTTCCCATAGTAATCACATTTTTAGTGTCCTTTGAAACAATGTCACTCTTCTCAGTAGACTTGGGCATGACTGAACCCAAGTCATGGTAAGGGATCACATCCAATGCAAATTGTTCCTGTCTTCCTGAGGAAGAGTATAAATCATAGCAATCTTCTGGCCCTCCTGCTGCTCAACATGGGCTTGATATGGGCATAAGCCTCCTATAAAGTGGTAAAAGGAGTAGGCCCTAAAATTTGAACTCGTATTTAATCATACCCAGTATTAAGACCAGCAAGGAAGTCATACACTCGTTCCTTCTCAACTATCTACTTAAGTTTGACAACATCTTTAGTACAATTGAAACTCTAATAGTAGTCAAGCGCTTATCATAGAATATTCAACTCTGCATAGTACACTGCAAGAGTCTAATCTTTCTGATTAATCTTTCGGACTTTTCTGGTCATATGCCTTAGCATCACTGGTCATTTGAGAATATGTGTGAGCCACAACAGTCCAAATCTTGTCAGCTGTATCAAGTAAAAAAAACCTCAACCGATAGTGGGTTACATTGAATTAAGCAGCTAAGACATAATTACTTGTATCTAGCTTCTCTGGATTAATTTGGAGAGAGGGGTTGTTTACAAGAGCCCCTAAATGGCTCAATTCACTTCCTGTAGTACTTCATCTAGTATTGGAGGAGGTCACACTAGTTTCTTTCATAGTCACTATGAAATTAACACAAAATTGGCAGGCTAAATTAACATATCACAACTCAAAAATCCACCACACCCAAAAAAAAAAAAAATCTCCCAACGGCAGCCAAGTATAATATGGATAGCAGCTAGAGGGGAAAATATGAGATATTTGGTCCCTGTGCAACTGTCTGAGATGCAAACAGCCTGCAAGAAATCCCGAAGCAAAAAATAGCAAAGGAGCAGATCTGAAGCAAAACCAGGCAGTTCACCAACCCAGCAATAAAGAGAACCAGCAAGAAAACCAGAAAATCAACTGTCGAAGGTTATCCAAGCACCGAAATCCCCTCAAATCCGGCCACTATGCAGCGATTCCTTCTGGGCATTTTAGATCCACTCCAATCGCACCTTGCTGTGTAGGATCGGTTAAAAAAAAAACAAGTACACCCAACATATATTTAGTCACATATTACAAAGTAATAAGGGTAAAATATATTGATAGTCAAGTATGTGTTTTGGTAACAAAAATGTATTTTACCAAAGTAATAAACTACCCTTAATCTAGAAATAGTGTATAACATAACAAAGATGAACACCACACAAATCTTGAACACGTACTAGGATATGAGCACGTTGAGGATGTGGTAAACCATCTAATTGTGTGCATGTACAAAAACTACATAGCACAGATATATCACAGTGGTTAATCTTTTACTTCCTGTTGACATTTGCATGATGTTGAAGATGAAACTTAAATTGCATTTTCGTCCTACGCACAATACTACTCACATTATGTATTTTGTTCCATTCCAACATGCATGTTTTCTCTATTTCTTTTGGAAATATATTCCTGGTTTTTTTTTGTTAAGCAATATTTCCACAAAATCTTGCTTTAGTGTGAACGTCTGAATTAATTTTCATCTCAGAACTGTTTCAACTTCATCCCATTTAGCTTCTTCAATATAAAAAAATAGTGAAAAATTAGTGTCACCTGTTCAGGCTAACCATGCCCTTTTAGAAGAAATAAGGGAGATAAATCAGCGGCTTATAGATACAGTGGTGGATATCAGTGATGAAGATGTTGATCCAACTGCGGCAGCAGCTGCTGCTGAAGGTGGTGAAGGAACCATCGTTAAGTGCTCTTTTAGTGCTGTGGCTCTTAGTCCAAACCTGAAGTCTCAGTACGCTTCAGCACAAATGGTAAGGGTTTTTTTTTTTTTTTTTTGGTAAATATCACAGATGGTAAGGTTAAGGCCCATTAAGCTCAGTGCCGGTGCTAGGCATAGGCCACCAAGGTGGCTGCCCAGGGCCCCCAAATATTTTATAAAGGCCCAAATTTTTTATTATTATTATTTTTTTGAGTTTTGGATAGGATCTAAATTTTTAGGGCCCCAAATTGTAAGATAATTTAAAAAGACATTGTCTTAAGCTTGAAACTTTTCTAAAACATGATGTATCTACTGCTATTGATGGCTTAGATCTACTTTGAGAATTAGAAGTTTTAAAAGGAAGTTCTAAAAATTGAAATCAACAATCTAATTGAAATAATAAACTATATAAAAAGACTACATTTTTTTCTGAATGCATGCATTGCTTATAGAAAGGAATTTTTCAAGACTTAGATTGATAAAATCTAATTTATGGTCAACTATTTTACAAGAAAGATTGAATAGATTAGCTATATTATTTATTGAAAAAGATTTATTTATAAAACTTGAATATAAGAACTTGATCAATATTTTTGTATCTAAAAAAGTAAGGAAAATAATTTTTAAATAATAAAAAATTAAATTATAATAATTATATATATATATATATATATTAATACAAGGAATATTAATAGGGCCCGTGTAAAGTTTTCGCCTAAGGCCTCGTTTACATTGTGCCAGCCCTGATTAAGCTAATATTTAGCGCTGGCCATATGCATTAGCTTTTCTAACTTACTTCTGCTTACTAATTTGCAGTCACCAATTCAGCCCTTACGATTGCTTGTCCCCACAAATTATCCACATTGCTCCCCAATACTCTTGGACAAGTTTCCTGTTGAAGTAAGGTGAGAAAACGAGCATTTGATGTTTTTTGTTTTGAACAGGATATCTTGTGTCTCTTTCTCTTCCATTTTAGCAAAACTTATCATTCTCTTTACTGTAATATCTTTCATTTGTTTTTGGGAAACATTGAAGGTAACTTTTGAAAACAACTTGCTGAATTTTGCTGAGTGCAGAAAATATTTTTTCAGATCTATATTTGTTTGTTCAACAAAAGGTGAATAAACCAAATATGGTTATGGTCAATTTACTTAAGCATGGAGAGTGCCTTCCTTACTTTTTTCTGAAGTCATAGGAGATTAAAGTTTCATACTGAGAATATGCTATTTCACATTTTCTTTTATAATTGCATCCTACTATTTTGTTTCACAGCAAAGAGTATGAAGATCTTTCCATAAAGGCGAAATCAAGGTTTAGTATTTCTCTCCGAAGTCTTTCACAGCCCATGTCGCTTGGAGAGATAGCAAGGACTTGGGACGTGTGTGCTCGGACAGTTATTTCAGAGTATGCGCAGCAGAGCGGTGGAGGGAGCTTCAGCTCAAAATATGGGACTTGGGAGAACTGCTTGAGTGCAGCATGATCATTTTTGGCATATCCAAGTGAGCATATGCAAAGGATAGCCTATCAATGGGGGAGCACTGGTGTACTTTGTACCATAGGTAATGGTGTATTTTGCTTGTAACACAACGGTTGTGTATATCACTATTGCTATACACATGGTGCAGTTATTTATGTTTCAACGTTTGTAGTATGTACATGTACTGTAAGTTGTTTTGTGTTTGGAGAAGCCAAAGTTACTTATGCAGCTGTGGTTGTAAATCTTGGAATTTTACATTTTAACCATAGCAAACATCTGACNGTGAGTGGACATTATCCCCTTCAACCACGTGTAGGATGTCCAGTCAGCTTCTAACAGAACTCCTTATTATGTCTGGTCTGGTCTTCCCATAGTAATCACATTTTAAGTGTCCTTTGAAACAATGTCACTCTTCTCAGTAGACTTGGGCATGACTGAACCCAAGTCATGGTAAGGGATCACATCCAATGCAAATTGTTCCTGTCTTCCTGAGGAAGAGTATAAATCATAGCAATCTTCTGGCCCTCCTGCTGCTCAACATGGGCTTGATATGGGCATAAGCCTCCTATAAAGTGGTAAAAGGAGTAGGCCCTAAAATTTGAACTCGTATTTAATCATACCCAGTATTAAGACCAGCAAGGAAGTCATACACTCGTTCCTTCTCAACTATCTACTTAAGTTTGACAACATCTTTAGTACAATTGAAACTCCAATAGTAGTCAAGCGCTTATCATAGAATATTCAACTCTGCATAGTACACTGCAAGAGTCTAATCTTTCTGATTAATCTTTCGGACTTTTCTGGTCATATGCCTTAGCATCACTGGTCATTTGAGAATATGTGTGAGCCACAACAGTCCAAATCTTGTCAGCTATATCAAGTAAAAAAAACCTCAACCGATAGTGGGTTACATTGAATTAAGCAGCTAAGACATAATTACTTGTATCTAGCTTCTCTGGATTAATTTGGAGAGAGGGGTTGTTTACAAGAGCCCCTAAATGGCTCAATTCACTTCCTGTAGTACTTCATCTAGTATTGGAGGAGGTCACACTAGTTTCTTTCATATTTACTATGAAATTAACACAAAATTGGCAGGCTAAATTAACATATCACAACTCAAAAAATCCACCACACCCAAAAAAAAAAAAATCTCCCAACGGCAGCCAAGTATAATATGGATAGCAGCTAGAGGGGAAAATATGAGATATTTGGTCCCTGTGCAACTGTCTGAGATGCAAACAGCCTGCAAGAAATCCCGAAGCAAAAAATAGCAAAGGAGCAGATCTGAAGCAAAACCAGGCAGTTCACCAACCCAGCAATAAAGAGAACCAGCAAGAAAACCAGAAAATCAACTGTCGAAGGTTATCCAAGCACCGAAATCCCCTCAAATCCGGCCACTATGCAGCGATTCCTTCTGGGCATTTTAGATCCACTCCAATCGCACCTTGCTGTGTAGGATCGGTTAAAAAAAAAACAAGTACACCCAACATATATTTAGTCACATATTACAAAGTAATAAGGGTAAAATATATTGATAGTCAAGTATGTGTTTTGGTAACCAAAAATGTATTTTACCAACTTAATAAACTACCCTTAATCTAGAAATAGTGTATAACATAACAAAGATGAACACCACACAAATCTTGAACACGTACTAGGATATGAGCACGTTGAGGATGTGGTAAACCATCTAATTGTGTGCATGTACAAAAACTACATAGCACAGATATATCACAGTGGTTAATCTTTTACTTCCTGTTGACATTTGCATGATGTTGAAGATGAAACTTAAATTGCNCCCTGATTAAGCTAATATTTAGCGCTGGCCATATGCATTAGCTTTTCTAACTTACTTCTGCTTACTAATTTGCAGTCACCAATTCAGCCCTTACGATTGCTTGTCCCCACAAATTATCCACATTGCTCCCCAATACTCTTGGACAAGTTTCCTGTTGAAGTAAGGTGAGAAAACGAGCATTTGATGTTTTTTGTTTTGAACAGGATATCTTGTGTCTCTTTCTCTTCCATTTTAGCAAAACTTATCATTCTCTTTACTGTAATATCTTTCATTTGTTTTTGGGAAACATTGAAGGTAACTTTTGAAAACAACTTGCTGAATTTTGCTGAGTGCAGAAAATATTTTTTCAGATCTATATTTGTTTGTTCAACAAAAGGTGAATAAACCAAATATGGTTATGGTCAATTTACTTAAGCATGGAGAGTGCCTTCCTTACTTTTTTCTGAAGTCATAGGAGATTAAAGTTTCATACTGAGAATATGCTATTTCACATTTTCTTTTATAATTGCATCCTACTATTTTGTTTCACAGCAAAGAGTATGAAGATCTTTCCATAAAGGCGAAATCAAGGTTTAGTATTTCTCTCCGAAGTCTTTCACAGCCCATGTCGCTTGGAGAGATAGCAAGGACTTGGGACGTGTGTGCTCGGACAGTTATTTCAGAGTATGCGCAGCAGAGCGGTGGAGGGAGCTTCAGCTCAAAATATGGGACTTGGGAGAACTGCTTGAGTGCAGCATGATCATTTTTGGCATATCCAAGTGAGCATATGCAAAGGATAGCCTATCAATGGGGGAGCACTGGTGTACTTTGTACCATAGGTAATGGTGTATTTTGCTTGTAACACAACGGTTGTGTATATCACTATTGCTATACACATGGTGCAGTTATTTATGTTTCAACGTTTGTAGTATGTACATGTACTGTAAGTTGTTTTGTGTTTGGAGAAGCCAAAGTTACTTATGCAGCCGTGGTTGTAAATCTTGGAATTTTACATTTTAACCATAGCAAACATCTGACTAGAATTCCAAGAATGTGTTCAATTATCAACAAAATTGTTGTTTCTCGTCGAAAAAAAATTTCTGNAGTTACTTATGCAGCCGTGGTTGTAAATCTTGGAATTTTACATTTTAACCATAGCAAACATCTGACTAGAATTCCAAGAATGTGTTCAATTATCAACAAAATTGTTGTTTCTCGTCGAAAATTTTTTTCTTAGAATGCGTTTGTATATCATTTTTCAATTGTCAAAAGAAATTCGTTTAGATTAGTAATTTATCTTTAAATTAGATGAAGAATTACTCATGTGAAAAATGGAGGAACCTGGTTGTGGAAAAAGATTGAAACAATACTCTATATTTCNACCGATAGTGGGTTACATTGAATTAAGCAGCTAAGACATAATTACTTGTATCTAGCTTCTCTGGATTAATTTGGAGAGAGGGGTTGTTTACAAGAGCCCCTAAATGGCTCAATTCACTTCCTGTAGTACTTCATCTAGTATTGGAGGAGGTCACACTAGTTTCTTTCATAGTCACTATGAAATTAACACAAAATTGGCAGGCTAAATTAACATATCACAACTCAAAAATCCACCACACCCAAAAAAAAAAAAAATCTCCCAACGGCAGCCAAGTATAATATGGATAGCAGCTAGAGGGGAAAATATGAGATATTTGGTCCCTGTGCAACTGTCTGAGATGCAAACAGCCTGCAAGAAATCCCGAAGCAAAAAATAGCAAAGGAGCAGATCTGAAGCAAAACCAGGCAGTTCACCAACCCAGCAATAAAGAGAACCAGCAAGAAAACCAGAAAATCAACTGTCGAAGGTTATCCAAGCACCGAAATCCCCTCAAATCCGGCCACTATGCAGCGATTCCTTCTGGGCATTTTAGATCCACTCCAATCGCACCTTGCTGTGTAGGATCGGTTAAAAAAAAAACAAGTACACCCAACATATATTTAGTCACATATTACAAAGTAATAAGGGTAAAATATATTGATAGTCAAGTATGTGTTTTGGTAACAAAAATGTATTTTACCAAAGTAATAAACTACCCTTAATCTAGAAATAGTGTATAACATAACAAAGATGAACACCACACAAATCTTGAACACGTACTAGGATATGAGCACGTTGAGGATGTGGTAAACCATCTAATTGTGTGCATGTACAAAAACTACATAGCACAGATATATCACAGTGGTTAATCTTTTACTTCCTGTTGACATTTGCATGATGTTGAAGATGAAACTTAAATTGCATTTTCGTCCTACGCACAATACTACTCACATTATGTATTTTGTTCCATTCCAACATGCATGTTTTCTCTATTTCTTTTGGAAATATATTCCTGGTTTTTTTTTGTTAAGCAATATTTCCACAAAATCTTGCTTTAGTGTGAACGTCTGAATTAATTTTCATCTCAGAACTGTTTCAACTTCATCCCATTTAGCTTCTTCAATATAAAAAAATAGTGAAAAATTAGTGTCACCTGTTCAGGCTAACCATGCCCTTTTAGAAGAAATAAGGGAGATAAATCAGCGGCTTATAGATACAGTGGTGGATATCAGTGATGAAGATGTTGATCCAACTGCGGCAGCAGCTGCTGCTGAAGGTGGTGAAGGAACCATCGTTAAGTGCTCTTTTAGTGCTGTGGCTCTTAGTCCAAACCTGAAGTCTCAGTACGCTTCAGCACAAATGGTAAGGGTTTTTTTTTTTTTTTTTTGGTAAATATCACAGATGGTAAGGTTAAGGCCCATTAAGCTCAGTGCCGGTGCTAGGCATAGGCCACCAAGGTGGCTGCCCAGGGCCCCCAAATATTTTATAAAGGCCCAAATTTTTTATTATTATTATTTTTTTGAGTTTTGGATAGGATCTAAATTTTTAGGGCCCCAAATTGTAAGATAATTTAAAAAGACATTGTCTTAAGCTTGAAACTTTTCTAAAACATGATGTATCTACTGCTATTGATGGCTTAGATCTACTTTGAGAATTAGAAGTTTTAAAAGGAAGTTCTAAAAATTGAAATCAACAATCTAATTGAAATAATAAACTATATAAAAAGACTACATTTTTTTCTGAATGCATGCATTGCTTATAGAAAGGAATTTTTCAAGACTTAGATTGATAAAATCTAATTTATGGTCAACTATTTTACAAGAAAGATTGAATAGATTAGCTATATTATTTATTGAAAAAGATTTATTTATAAAACTTGAATATAAGAACTTGATCAATATTTTTGTATCTAAAAAAGTAAGGAAAATAATTTTTAAATAATAAAAAATTAAATTATAATAATTATATATATATATATATATATTAATACAAGGAATATTAATAGGGCCCGTGTAAAGTTTTCGCCTAAGGCCTCGTTTACATTGTGCCAGCCCTGATTAAGCTAATATTTAGCGCTGGCCATATGCATTAGCTTTTCTAACTTACTTCTGCTTACTAATTTGCAGTCACCAATTCAGCCCTTACGATTGCTTGTCCCCACAAATTATCCACATTGCTCCCCAATACTCTTGGACAAGTTTCCTGTTGAAGTAAGGTGAGAAAACGAGCATTTGATGTTTTTTGTTTTGAACAGGATATCTTGTGTCTCTTTCTCTTCCATTTTAGCAAAACTTATCATTCTCTTTACTGTAATATCTTTCATTTGTTTTTGGGAAACATTGAAGGTAACTTTTGAAAACAACTTGCTGAATTTTGCTGAGTGCAGAAAATATTTTTTCAGATCTATATTTGTTTGTTCAACAAAAGGTGAATAAACCAAATATGGTTATGGTCAATTTACTTAAGCATGGAGAGTGCCTTCCTTACTTTTTTCTGAAGTCATAGGAGATTAAAGTTTCATACTGAGAATATGCTATTTCACATTTTCTTTTATAATTGCATCCTACTATTTTGTTTCACAGCAAAGAGTATGAAGATCTTTCCATAAAGGCGAAATCAAGGTTTAGTATTTCTCTCCGAAGTCTTTCACAGCCCATGTCGCTTGGAGAGATAGCAAGGACTTGGGACGTGTGTGCTCGGACAGTTATTTCAGAGTATGCGCAGCAGAGCGGTGGAGGGAGCTTCAGCTCAAAATATGGGACTTGGGAGAACTGCTTGAGTGCAGCATGATCATTTTTGGCATATCCAAGTGAGCATATGCAAAGGATAGCCTATCAATGGGGGAGCACTGGTGTACTTTGTACCATAGGTAATGGTGTATTTTGCTTGTAACACAACGGTTGTGTATATCACTATTGCTATACACATGGTGCAGTTATTTATGTTTCAACGTTTGTAGTATGTACATGTACTGTAAGTTGTTTTGTGTTTGGAGAAGCCAAAGTTACTTATGCAGCTGTGGTTGTAAATCTTGGAATTTTACATTTTAACCATAGCAAACATCTGACTAGAATTCCAAGAATGTGTTCAATTATCAACAAAATTGTTGTTTCTCGTCGAAAAAAAATTTCTGAGAATGCGTTTGTATATCATTTTTCAATTGTCAAAAGAAATTCGTTTAGATTAGTAATTTATCTTTAAATTAGATGAAGAATTACTCATGTGAAAAATGGAGGAACCTGGTTGTGGAAAAAGATTGAAACAATACTCTATATTTCCAATTGATTGAAAACAATAGGGTTGTAATGTATGAGTAACGGCTCTTATTATTATTATTTTTTTGGTACATATTGAGCATGTTTGGAGTTTGCTTAAAATTTCTGTTTTTTCTTCTTTTTTTTATTTTGTATTTTAGACGAAAAGAAGTCTAGTTTGTTTGGACTCGGGTTTATTGGACAGTTTTTTCATCAATTTTTTGAATAAAAATAATTTTTATCAATACCNTCCAATTGATTGAAAACAATAGGGTTGTAATGTATGAGTAACGGCTCTTATTATTATAATTTTTTGGGTACATATTGAGCATGTTTGGAGTTTGCTTAAAATTTCTGTTTTTTCTTCTTTTTTTAATTTTGTATTTTAGACGAAAAGTTTGTTTGGACTTGGGTTTATTGGACAATTTTTTCATCAATTTTTTGAATAAAAATAATTTTTATCAATACTNATCCACCACACCCAAAAAAAAAAAAAATCTCCCAACGGCAGCCAAGTATAATATGGATAGCAGCTAGAGGGGAAAATATGAGATATTTGGTCCCTGTGCAACTGTCTGAGATGCAAACAGCCTGCAAGAAATCCCGAAGCAAAAAATAGCAAAGGAGCAGATCTGAAGCAAAACCAGGCAGTTCACCAACCCAGCAATAAAGAGAACCAGCAAGAAAACCAGAAAATCAACTGTCGAAGGTTATCCAAGCACCGAAATCCCCTCAAATCCGGCCACTATGCAGCGATTCCTTCTGGGCATTTTAGATCCACTCCAATCGCACCTTGCTGTGTAGGATCGGTTAAAAAAAAAACAAGTACACCCAACATATATTTAGTCACATATTACAAAGTAATAAGGGTAAAATATATTGATAGTCAAGTATGTGTTTTGGTAACCAAAAATGTATTTTACCAAAGTAATAAACTACCCTTAATCTAGAAATAGTGTATAACATAACAAAGATGAACACCACACAAATCTTGAACACGTACTAGGATATGAGCACGTTGAGGATGTGGTAAACCATCTAATTGTGTGCATGTACAAAAACTACATAGCACAGATATATCACAGTGGTTAATCTTTTACTTCCTGTTGACATTTGCATGATGTTGAAGATGAAACTTAAATTGCATTTTCGTCCTACGCACAATACTACTCACATTATGTATTTTGTTCCATTCCAACATGCATGTTTTCTCTATTTCTTTTGGAAATATATTCCTGGTTTTTTTTTGTTAAGCAATATTTCCACAAAATCTTGCTTTAGTGTGAACGTCTGAATTAATTTTCATCTCAGAACTGTTTCAACTTCATCCCATTTAGCTTCTTCAATATAAAAAAATAGTGAAAAATTAGTGTCACCTGTTCAGGCTAACCATGCCCTTTTAGAAGAAATAAGGGAGATAAATCAGCGGCTTATAGATACAGTGGTGGATATCAGTGATGAAGATGTTGATCCAACTGCGGCAGCAGCTGCTGCTGAAGGTGGTGAAGGAACCATCGTTAAGTGCTCTTTTAGTGCTGTGGCTCTTAGTCCAAACCTGAAGTCTCAGTACGCTTCAGCACAAATGGTAAGGGTTTTTTTTTTTTTTTTTTGGTAAATATCACAGATGGTAAGGTTAAGGCCCATTAAGCTCAGTGCCGGTGCTAGGCATAGGCCACCAAGGTGGCTGCCCAGGGCCCCCAAATATTTTATAAAGGCCCAAATTTTTTATTATTATTATTTTTTTGAGTTTTGGATAGGATCTAAATTTTTAGGGCCCCAAATTGTAAGATAATTTAAAAAGACATTGTCTTAAGCTTGAAACTTTTCTAAAACATGATGTATCTACTGCTATTGATGGCTTAGATCTACTTTGAGAATTAGAAGTTTTAAAAGGAAGTTCTAAAAATTGAAATCAACAATCTAATTGAAATAATAAACTATATAAAAAGACTACATTTTTTTCTGAATGCATGCATTGCTTATAGAAAGGAATTTTTCAAGACTTAGATTGATAAAATCTAATTTATGGTCAACTATTTTACAAGAAAGATTGAATAGATTAGCTATATTATTTATTGAAAAAGATTTATTTATAAAACTTGAATATAAGAACTTGATCAATATTTTTGTATCTAAAAAAGTAAGGAAAATAATTTTTAAATAATAAAAAATTAAATTATAATAATTATATATATATATATATATATTAATACAAGGAATATTAATAGGGCCCGTGTAAAGTTTTCGCCTAAGGCCTCGTTTACATTGTGCCAGCCCTGATTAAGCTAATATTTAGCGCTGGCCATATGCATTAGCTTTTCTAACTTACTTCTGCTTACTAATTTGCAGTCACCAATTCAGCCCTTACGATTGCTTGTCCCCACAAATTATCCACATTGCTCCCCAATACTCTTGGACAAGTTTCCTGTTGAAGTAAGGTGAGAAAACGAGCATTTGATGTTTTTTGTTTTGAACAGGATATCTTGTGTCTCTTTCTCTTCCATTTTAGCAAAACTTATCATTCTCTTTACTGTAATATCTTTCATTTGTTTTTGGGAAACATTGAAGGTAACTTTTGAAAACAACTTGCTGAATTTTGCTGAGTGCAGAAAATATTTTTTCAGATCTATATTTGTTTGTTCAACAAAAGGTGAATAAACCAAATATGGTTATGGTCAATTTACTTAAGCATGGAGAGTGCCTTCCTTACTTTTTTCTGAAGTCATAGGAGATTAAAGTTTCATACTGAGAATATGCTATTTCACATTTTCTTTTATAATTGCATCCTACTATTTTGTTTCACAGCAAAGAGTATGAAGATCTTTCCATAAAGGCGAAATCAAGGTTTAGTATTTCTCTCCGAAGTCTTTCACAGCCCATGTCGCTTGGAGAGATAGCAAGGACTTGGGACGTGTGTGCTCGGACAGTTATTTCAGAGTATGCGCAGCAGAGCGGTGGAGGGAGCTTCAGCTCAAAATATGGGACTTGGGAGAACTGCTTGAGTGCAGCATGATCATTTTTGGCATATCCAAGTGAGCATATGCAAAGGATAGCCTATCAATGGGGGAGCACTGGTGTACTTTGTACCATAGGTAATGGTGTATTTTGCTTGTAACACAACGGTTGTGTATATCACTATTGCTATACACATGGTGCAGTTATTTATGTTTCAACGTTTGTAGTATGTACATGTACTGTAAGTTGTTTTGTGTTTGGAGAAGCCAAAGTTACTTATGCAGCTGTGGTTGTAAATCTTGGAATTTTACATTTTAACCATAGCAAACATCTGACTAGAATTCCAAGAATGTGTTCAATTATCAACAAAATTGTTGTTTCTCGTCGAAAAAAAATTTCTGAGAATGCGTTTGTATATCATTTTTCAATTGTCAAAAGAAATTCGTTTAGATTAGTAATTTATCTTTAAATTAGATGAAGAATTACTCATGTGAAAAATGGAGGAACCTGGTTGTGGAAAAAGATTGAAACAATACTCTATATTTCCAATTGATTGAAAACAATAGGGTTGTAATGTATGAGTAACGGCTCTTATTATTATTATTTTTTTGGTACATATTGAGCATGTTTGGAGTTTGCTTAAAATTTCTGTTTTTTCTTCTTTTTTTTATTTTGTATTTTAGACGAAAAGAAGTCTAGTTTGTTTGGACTCGGGTTTATTGGACAGTTTTTTCATCAATTTTTTGAATAAAAATAATTTTTATCAATACCAAAGAAAAGTTAAAAAATAGGACTTATCTAAGGGCTTCTAAGGAGAAATTGGTTTTTTCGAAAACACTACAAATGATTCGAAGAGCTTTTAAATTTTGATTTTTTTATTTTATTTTTTAAACTTTTGTTTCGCACCAAAAAAAATAGATTCAAATAGACTCATTTGTTTTGTTTTGCCAGTTGTTTTCGTTTGTTAGATGTTGTTAAGAGTATTAGGGTAGTATATGTAATTTGTTAATAGTATTAGGATATTATGTGTAAATACAAGAGGGTGTGCATGTGTAATTCTTGTTATGAGTTACTTATAAACACAAGTGATGTATGAGGGTTAGGTTAAATTTTGACCTATCTATGTTTCTCTCTAATATTGTGTTAATCTTCTACACTTAACATGGTATCAGAGCAAAATCAATACAAATTTTAACTCTTCTGGTTCACGGTTGTGTCAATATTGTCACTGCGGTGGTAGTTGACTTGTGTGGTTAGCGTTGGTGTCCATCGTGGTCCATCGTGGTTGTTCTGGTGGTGGTGGTAGTCGACTGTGGTGGTCGATGTTGTATTGCTCATCTTTTTTTTTTTTTGGTTCGTGGTCGTGTGGTGNTTAATAAACTACCCTTAATCTAGAAATAGTGTATAACATAACAAAGATGAACACCACACAAATCTTGAACACGTACTAGGATATGAGCACGTTGAGGATGTGGTAAACCATCTAATTGTGTGCATGTACAAAAACTACATAGCACAGATATATCACAGTGGTTAATCTTTTACTTCCTGTTGACATTTGCATGATGTTGAAGATGAAACGTAAATTGCATTTTCGTCCTACGCACAATACTACTCACATTATGTATTTTGTTCCATTCCAACATGCATGTTTTCTCTATTTCTTTTGGAAATATATTCCTGGTTTTTTTTTGTTAAGCAATATTTCCACAAAATCTTGCTTTAGTGTGAACGTCTGAATTAATTTTCATCTCAGAACTGTTTCAACTTCATCCCATTTAGCTTCTTCAATATAAAAAAATAGTGAAAAATTAGTGTCACCTGTTCAGGCTAACCATGCCCTTTTAGAAGAAATAAGGGAGATAAATCAGCGGCTTATAGATACAGTGGTGGATATCAGTGATGAAGATGTTGATCCAACTGCGGCAGCAGCTGCTGCTGAAGGTGGTGAAGGAACCATCGTTAAGTGCTCTTTTAGTGCTGTGGCTCTTAGTCCAAACCTGAAGTCTCAGTACGCTTCAGCACAAATGGTAAGGGTTTTTTTTTTTTTTTTTTTGGTAAATATCACAGATGGTAAGGTTAAGGCCCATTAAGCTCAGTGCCGGTGCTAGGCATAGGCCACCAAGGTGGCTGCCCAGGGCCCCCAAATATTTTATAAAGGCCCAAATTTTTTATTATTATTATTTTTTTGAGTTTTGGATAGGATCTAAATTTTTAGGGCCCCAAATTGTAAGATAATTTAAAAAGACATTGTCTTAAGCTTGAAACTTTTCTAAAACATGATGTATCTACTGCTATTGATGGCTTAGATCTACTTTGAGAATTAGAAGTTTTAAAAGGAAGTTCTAAAAATTGAAATCAACAATCTAATTGAAATAATAAACTATATAAAAAGACTACATTTTTTTCTGAATGCATGCATTGCTTATAGAAAGGAATTTTTCAAGACTTAGATTGATAAAATCTAATTTATGGTCAACTATTTTACAAGAAAGATTGAATAGATTAGCTATATTATTTATTGAAAAAGATTTATTTATAAAACTTGAATATAAGAACTTGATCAATATTTTTGTATCTAAAAAAGTAAGGAAAATAATTTTTAAATAATAAAAAATTAAATTATAATAATTATATATATATATATATATATTAATACAAGGAATATTAATAGGGCCCGTGTAAAGTTTTCGCCTAAGGCCTCGTTTACATTGTGCCAGCCCTGATTAAGCTAATATTTAGCGCTGGCCATATGCATTAGCTTTTCTAACTTACTTCTGCTTACTAATTTGCAGTCACCAATTCAGCCCTTACGATTGCTTGTCCCCACAAATTATCCACATTGCTCCCCAATACTCTTGGACAAGTTTCCTGTTGAAGTAAGGTGAGAAAACGAGCATTTGATGTTTTTTGTTTTGAACAGGATATCTTGTGTCTCTTTCTCTTCCATTTTAGCAAAACTTATCATTCTCTTTACTGTAATATCTTTCATTTGTTTTTGGGAAACATTGAAGGTAACTTTTGAAAACAACTTGCTGAATTTTGCTGAGTGCAGAAAATATTTTTTCAGATCTATATTTGTTTGTTCAACAAAAGGTGAATAAACCAAATATGGTTATGGTCAATTTACTTAAGCATGGAGAGTGCCTTCCTTACTTTTTTCTGAAGTCATAGGAGATTAAAGTTTCATACTGAGAATATGCTATTTCACATTTTCTTTTATAATTGCATCCTACTATTTTGTTTCACAGCAAAGAGTATGAAGATCTTTCCATAAAGGCGAAATCAAGGTTTAGTATTTCTCTCCGAAGTCTTTCACAGCCCATGTCGCTTGGAGAGATAGCAAGGACTTGGGACGTGTGTGCTCGGACAGTTATTTCAGAGTATGCGCAGCAGAGCGGTGGAGGGAGCTTCAGCTCAAAATATGGGACTTGGGAGAACTGCTTGAGTGCAGCATGATCATTTTTGGCATATCCAAGTGAGCATATGCAAAGGATAGCCTATCAATGGGGGAGCACTGGTGTACTTTGTACCATAGGTAATGGTGTATTTTGCTTGTAACACAACGGTTGTGTATATCACTATTGCTATACACATGGTGCAGTTATTTATGTTTCAACGTTTGTAGTATGTACATGTACTGTAAGTTGTTTTGTGTTTGGAGAAGCCAAAGTTACTTATGCAGCTGTGGTTGTAAATCTTGGAATTTTACATTTTAACCATAGCAAACATCTGACTAGAATTCCAAGAATGTGTTCAATTATCAACAAAATTGTTGTTTCTCGTCGAAAATTTTTTTCTTAGAATGCGTTTGTATATCATTTTTCAATTGTCAAAAGAAATTCGTTTAGATTAGTAATTTATCTTTAAATTAGATGAAGAATTACTCATGTGAAAAATGGAGGAACCTGGTTGTGGAAAAAGATTGAAACAATACTCTATATTTCCAATTGATTGAAAACAATAGGGTTGTAATGTATGAGTAACGGCTCTTATTATTATTATTTTTTTGGTACATATTGAGCATGTTTGGAGTTTGCTTAAAATTTCTGTTTTTTCTTCTTTTTTTTATTTTGTATTTTAGACGAAAAGAAGTCTAGTTTGTTTGGACTCGGGTTTATTGGACAGTTTTTTCATCAATTTTTTGAATAAAAATAATTTTTATCAATACCAAAGAAAAGTTAAAAAATAGGACTTATCTAAGGGCTTCTAAGGAGAAATTGGTTTTTTCGAAAACACTACAAATGATTCGAAGAGCTTTTAAATTTTGATTTTTTTATTTTATTTTTTAAACTTTTGTTTCGCACCAAAAAAAATAGATTCAAATAGACTCATTTGTTTTGTTTTGCCAGTTGTTTTCGTTTGTTAGATGTTGTTAAGAGTATTAGGGTAGTATATGTAATTTGTTAATAGTATTAGGATATTATGTGTAAATACAAGAGGGTGTGCATGTGTAATTCTTGTTATGAGTTACTTATAAACACAAGTGATGTATGAGGGTTAGGTTAAATTTTGACCTATCTATGTTTCTCTCTAATATTGTGTTAATCTTCTACACTTAACATGGTATCAGAGCAAAATCAATACAAATTTTAACTCTTCTGGTTCACGGTTGTGTCAATATTGTCACTGCGGTGGTAGTTGACTTGTGTGGTTAGCGTTGGTGTCCATCGTGGTCCATCGTGGTTGTTCTGGTGGTGGTGGTAGTCGACTGTGGTGGTCGATGTTGTATTGCTCATCTTTTTTTTTTTTTGGTTCGTGGTCGTGTGGTGGTAGTCGACTGGTTTGCTTGGTGGGGGCTTCTGGTTCTCCAATTAGGTGGTGGTTGTTCTTGGTGTAGTCGACTGTGGTCGACGTTGTGTTGCTCATCTATGTGTGGTTGTTGCTTTGCTGTTCGATNGTGGTAGTCGACTGTGGTGGTCGATGTTGTATTGCTCATCTTTTTTTTTTTTTGGTTCGTGGTCGTGTGGTGGTAGTCGACTGGTTTGCTTGGTGGGGGCTTCTGGTTCTCCAATTAGGTGGTGGTGGTTGTTCTTGGTGTAGTCGACTGTGGTCGACGTTGTGTTGCTCATCTATGTGTGGTTGTTGCTTTGCTGTTCGACTGGTGTGTGTGATGTTGAAGGAGCATTAGAGTTTGCTCTTTGGAGAAGAAGAAGTCCAAACCCTGATCTTTACTCGAATCCAGACTCAGATCCAGTAGCCTCAGACCAGACCGGTTCAGGCAGTTTTAGACCAGTTCAAGTCCGGTTCAGTCAGTTCTAGGCCGTTTCAGGTTTGGTTCAGTTGGGTTTAGACCGGTTCAGGCAGGATCCATCTGTTTTGTCTCTGGTTTAGCCTCTAGTTGACCTTTTTTGGTTCGGTTTAGCCTCCAGTTCACTTTTTCTGGTCTGGTTCAGGCTCCAGTTCGCCTTTTCTAGTCCGGTTCAGCGGTCTAGTTGGTCTCTTCAGTCCGATTCAGTAGACCGGTTGGTTTCTTCAATCCGGTTCAACTATCCAGTTGGTTTCTTCAGTCCAGTTCAGCGGTCTAGTTCGTCTCTTCAGTCCAGTTGGTTTCTTCAGTCTGGTTCAGTTATTTTTGCACCGGTTCAGCTCGATTCAGTCAATTTTTACTCTGGTTCAGCAATCCAACGAGCCCAAACAGTACGGTTCAGTGGTCCAGTGAGCTCATGTGGTTCAGTTTAGTCTTCCAGCACCTGTGGTTCGGTTTGCTGCACTGCTATGAAACCCAAGCAAGACACTGAATTGGTTACTATTACTTGAGAGGAGTATACCCAGTTCTTATCCCAGCAACAAGCTGTTTCATCTTCCTCCACTGCTATTTTTGCTCAGTCAGGTATTGCTTCCACTTGTTTATTGTCCTCCAATCGCAGTCCTTGAATCATAGACTCTGGCGCTTCTGACCACATGACTGGTGCGTCTGATATTTTTTCTACTTATCAGTCTGCTACTTTCACACATAGTATTACTCTTGCTAATGACACTTGTTCTAAAGTTTCAGGTTTG